TGCCCAGCCTTCCCTTCCGGCACCGTCACTGGCATGTGCGTGCCTTCACTACGCCACAATCTAGTGGCTCAAACAGAAATTCAGAAAGCAGGGCTACGCACCATCTTCTCGGAGAATGAGGACCACTGCGACATCATTGACCCACTCACCAACAAGGTCTTGGCCCGCTTCACCCTCAATTGCAGCGGCCTCTACACGCTACGCGTTCCTCTCCCACAGGTTTCAACCACCCAAGCACAGGCTCCCATCACACCATGCACATGTCGCAGCCTCTCCAACCCGACCATCCTCTATCATCATCGGTTAGGGCACCCAAACTTCCGCACGCTTGCTGACATGGCCTCCAAGAAACTTCTTCTCGGCCTGCCAGTCACACTTCCTCCACCACCTGACTCACCCGCTCCCACGTGCCTTGATTGCACCAAGAGCAAACTGCGCCAACAGCCCCACACTGCCTCACCCACAATCGCAGCGGCACCACTGGACCTAGTGCACATGGACGTCTGGGGCCCTGCCCCTGTTCTTGCACGAGGTGGATATCGCTACTTCCTAGTTATCGTGGATGACCACTCACGATACGTCTCTGTTCACCTCCTCCACACTAAGGCTGAGGCTCCAGAGGTCATCATGGCGTGGGTCAAGCAGGCACAGACCACCTTTGACCGCAAGGTCAAGCGCCTTCACTCGGATGGGGGGGGTGAATTTTGCAACGACAAGCTCAAAGCCTTCTGCTCCTCCGAAGGCATCCAGCAAAACTTCACCCTCCCTGACAGCCCTCAACAGAACGGCATAGCTGAGAGCCGCAACCACACCCTAGTGCAGATCACTCGGTGCCTCCTCAGCCACTCCAACGCTCCACACTCTCTCTGGGGATACGCTCTCTACCACGCCGCCCTCCTCTACAACCTTTACCCCCATCCGCACCTTCCCGACACCACTCCAACCACACTCTGGCTCGGGAAAACGCCCACTGCTCGCTCTCTTCGCGTTTGGGGATGCACCGCCTATGTCCTCCTCAACCCTCAGGCTCGACGCCAGAACGGTGGCAAGCTCGGTCCCAAGACTCAAACGTGCATCTACCTTGGGCACAACGCCGACTCACCTGACTACCTCTTCCTCAATCCCTCCACTCAACAGTTGGTCAGGAGCCGCGACATTGTCTTTGATGAGACCCGCCCATTCTACTCCCCTTCAGGACGGGACCCTCTCCCTGATCCACCCTCCCTCGTGTGGGCAGACTTTGACGCGCCTCCCGACCTCCTGCCTGCTCCTGCCCCCTCACCTCCTCCCTCTCCTGCCATCCCACCATCTCCCTCTGAGGTCTCTGACCCGGCCTCACCGGTGTCTTCGGCAGCTGCTCCGCCCCCCCCCTCACCTTCCTCACTTCCCGCTGCACCGCCCCCTCCGAGCGCACCTATCACCTACCATCGGCGGTCCCACCCTCCGGCCCCACCTCCTTCCCCAGTTCCCCCCACCACAGAGGAACCCGCTCTCCCACAGTCGCCCGAGCTGATCACGTACCGCCGGCGGCCCATTCCCCCACCCAAGCCTCCTAAGTCACCCTCTCCGACACCGCCTGCCCCACCCTCCTCACCGGTGGCTCATGGCACCCGCTCCCATCGCGCTGCTCTTCCACTCGCAATGGTTCTTCGATACACAACGATCACACCGCCTCCTCCTGCTAGGGGGGATGTGCCCTCTACCCTTCTAGAAGACAGGCATGAGGAGCTGTGTGATCTCCATGCAGTCATTCCTCAGCTCTCACACATCTTCCCCGATATCACTGGCTCACCCTCCCTCAACCTCGCGGAGAACCCGACCATCCCTATCCCTCTCACCATCCAAGAGGCTCTCTCAGGCCCTCATGCTGCCGAATGGCGTGCTGCCATGGACGCGGAGATTGCAGCATTCACTCGCAACCACTCCTTCGACGACGAGACTCCACCTCCAGGAGTCAACATCGTCGGGGGCAAATGGTTGTTCCGTGTAAAACAGCTCCCAGACGAGGCACCGGTGTTCAAAGCGCGTTACGTAGCCAAGGGCTTCACCCAGCAGCGGTACCGCGACTTCGACCTAATCTTCTCCCCCACATCCAAACCTCCCACCATTCGAACGCTCATGGATGTTGCAGCTCGAGAAGACTTTGAGATCAAATCCATGGATGCCTCCTCCGCCTTCCTACAATGACGTCTCAAGGAGACAGTGTTCATGGACAGACCAGAAGGCTTCCCAGGAGAATTCCCTCCCAACACTGTCTGGAAGCTGAATCGCCCCGTCTACGGCCTTAAACAAGCCCCTCGCGAATGGCACAACAAGGTGAAAGAAGTCCTCCTCTCCCTGGACTTCCACCCCTCAACTGCTGACCCGACTCTCTTCATCCGTCGTCATTCTGAGCCATTCTACATCCTAGTCTACGTGGATGATTTTATCCTCGTTGCCAAGGACTCGGCCCAAATGACCTCAGTCCAGGCAGCCCTGAGCAAGGCCCTCCAGATGAAAGACCTCGGTGACCTCAAGCACTACCTGGGAATGGAGATCACTCGTGATCGCAAGGCTCGCACCATCTCACTCTCCCAGGAGTTCTACATCGACAATGTGCTCAAGCGGTTTGAGATGGAGCTGTGCACACCTGTTGCCACCCCGCTGCCGCTGCAACACCTCCTTACAGCTCCTGCTGTACCCACACCAGAGGCCTGCTCTGAGCCATACCCGGAACTTGTTGGGTCCCTCATGTACGCCATGATGTGCACCCGACCGGACTTGGCCTACCCAGTCAGTGTTCTCTCTCGTTACGTGGCCCCGGGTCGCTCCACTAATCTTCATTGGAAGGCAGCAAAGCGGGTGCTGCGCTATCTTAAGGGCACAAAGTCCCACGTTCTCACACTCGGTGGGCTCTCCCCTCCTCGCCTGGAAGGTTACACAGACTCCTCCTGGGCTGATGACCAGACCGACCGACGCTCCTCTCAGGGGTACTGCTTCACCCTCGGGAGCGGAACTGTCAGTTGGCGCTCCACCAGGTCGTCTGCAGTCTCCCTCTCCTCCTGTGAGGCGGAGCTCTACGCAGGCACCATGGCTGCTCAGGAGGCCCGTTGGCTCACCTTCCTACTCCAGGAGCTTGGGTTCCCTCAGTCAGCCCCCACCCTCTGGTGTGACAACCAGAGTACCATCCACATCTCTCAAGACCCTGTGTATCACACCCGCACCAAGCATATTGAACTTCGGCACTTCTTCATTCGTCACCTTGTGCAACAAGAGCAGCTGAAGGTGGAATACGTGGCATCTGACTGCAACCTGGCTGACCTGTTCACCAAGCCCCTTGGGAAGGTTCCCCACCATCGTCTCCTTGGCGCCATGGGGCTCTGCGCTCCTCCTTCTCCGCCATGAGTTCGATTGACGCCTCAGGGGGGGTGTTGGTGTTAGGCCCCAATCTCACATTTTGTACTTGTACTTTTATATCCTAGTTTAGTGTAGTTTGCACTTTGTGTTTGGTTGGGTGTACATCCACATCCCAACCAAACCCAAATGTAATCTCCAAGCAATCTCCAACCTACCAATTGGAGATTGCCTTGGGATTACCCTTGATTCCCTAGGATTGCCTCCTGATTCCCTCCTCATCCCTACCTGGCTCATTCCGGATGTACTAAAAGAGCTTTGAGCTCACTACTATAGTATCGATTCTAAGCTCAAGTTCTGGCACTACCTCCCTTGGGCTTCTCCTTGGTGGCATTCCCGACACCCTCGAACTTCATGGCTGGTGTGACGCCTCTTGGGGACCGGAGGGGGAGCTGCGTCGCTCCGTTACGTGCTACTTGTTCTTCCTCGGTCCGTCACTCATCTCTTGGCAGTCCAAACGCCAAGCCGTCGTTGCTACCTCTTCATGTGAAGCTGAATATTACTCTCTGGGCGCCGCGGTGCACGAGGCATTATGGCTTCGTTCGCTCCTTACTGCAGTTGGACTTCCCCCTACCGGCCCCACCCGTATCTCGTGTGACAACAACAGTGCCATCATTCTCGCCAAGGACGATGGCGTCTTTCATCCCAAGGCCAAGCACATCGACATCAAGCACCATTTCATTCGCGATCATGTTGCCGACCACTCCATCACCCTTCACTATGTTCCTACTCAAGACAACCTCGCTGACATTGGGACCAAGCCTTTGCCCCGTGACCCTTTTCTTCGCATCCGTGGTCTTCTCGGTCTCACCCATGTTTCCTCTTGAGGCACCCTACCCCGGGGACATCCTTGAGGGGGGGTGTTGTGGAAGCAAGAATGTCCCAGTGGGTACCTTTGGTCTTAGTGGTCGCGGGTTCAACTCTCATCGGCAGCACCTTCTCTTCTCATTATGCCGAACATGACACTCCCACACTCCACCACACTCACCCACAGTGAAGTATGGTCACAGTTGGCATTGCCATCTGTCCACCCATCCCATACTCACCTTGTTGGCTCCTATGGTGTGCCACATACTGCCATGTAGGCTGTTGTTCCAGCCTGGCCCACATGTGCAACATGTGGCCTCAATTGCTAGCTTGGCAAGGTTGGCTAGCCCTGCCCTCAGCTTTGAGGTGCTGCAGCTAGCCTCAAGAGTTCAGCCACATAAATGTGGCTTCCCACTTCTCTAGAACTCATCCTTGGAAAGGACATTGCTCTAGCCTTTCAGGCTTGTACCATCTTCCTACTAAGGATATATTGTTCTTCTCTCATTGTGCCTCAAGTTCACCGATCCTCATTCTACAAAGGTGAGCCTTCATAATGACACCAGTACTATGCTTCACCACAGATTTGAAGACAGTATTTTTTTCTCTGCAATGTTCATGCCACACACATAGAGAGAAATGAGAAAAAAACAGGGAACAAAAAGCTATAAATGGCTACTATATTAAAAAAAAAAAAAAAAAAAAAGGTCACAAGATGAGAGAAAGGTAGTGGGCTAACAGGTTGGTGAGTTTGGTGAGGAGGGAGAGGGACGAAGGCATGGATCCTGAAAATTGGTTGTGACTTAAGTCCCTGTGGCACAAGATGGCATGGTGTGGTGTGGTGTGGCATGACATCGGATAGCATGGCACGGCATGGCATGGCATGGCATTGCATGGCATGGTATGGCATGGCATGGTAGATCATCACGTAGGTCAGCGGGAGCGGAGAGGAGAGTGAATGACAAGAAACATGCAAGAACCTCGACGGCACAATAATAACATAAGCAGACGATGACGAAAAGCATGCAGGTCTTTGCAAATAGCCCTGCGGCTCTCCCCCCACCCCCCCCCCCCCCCCCCCCCCCCCCCTTCTCCCTTCCAGAACGCACACATTGTGAGAAATGCACAAGTTAAGGTGTGCTGCTACTGTTATTACACGTGGAAGGCAAGGGGAACACACACAGCCATCTGCACCCATCCCCACCGCACAGTCATTCTGCACCCATTCCCACATCGGATCCTAAAAGCAATTGAACACTCCTCCAGCACTCACAGCTGAGGTGTGTTGGTGAGCGCAGCGATAAGCGGCTCTGGGATGGAGCCTGAGAGAATGTTGGACGACAGACCCCTGAGAAGGGAGGGGTGCAGTGCAGTGATGAGGTGAGGGGTGAGAATGGTAGAGGGAGGAATGATAGTGGCTGGGCACGACGAGCGAAGAAGCGAGATACAACAGGTTGTGGGACGGGTTGAGATGAGATGCAGTGCAGAGTGATAGACTGGATGGGGTGCGGTGAAGCGAGGTGCAATGCAATGCAATGGGATGGGGTGGAGCCACGGACACTGCCTATCTGCCGCATCGCATACTGACAGGGAGCCACACACACGCTACCTCGTAGCATACTGACAGGGTGGAGAGCGGCTGACAGGGTTTGACGCACGCTACTGAGTGGTACTGACATGAGGAGTACACATGCTCCTTCCTGGCATACTGACTGGGTGAAGAGCTCTTGACAGGGTGCGACACACACTAGTGCGTGGTACTGACTGACAGGGTGACACACACACGCTTCCACAAACTGACAGGGTGGTGAGCTGGAAGAGGCGGCTGTAGCCCAAAGGCAGCAATCCTTTTGAGGCGCCTCAAAAATGCGACACACACTGCTGCGTGGTACTGACTGACAGGGTGACACACACACGCTTCCGAGGACTGACAGGGTGGTGAGCTGGAAGAGGCGGCTGTAGTCCACAGGGAGAGATCCTGAGAAGATGTTGCCGCTGAGGTTGCTGGGGATGGGGACGAGGGGAGAGAGGGGGGAGCAAGGAGGGGGGGAAGAGAAGGGGGGGGAGGGTGAGAAGAGGAGGGAGAGAGGGGAGGGGAGAGGGTGGGGGAGAGTGGAGAGGGAGGAGAGGGAGGAGAGAGAAGAGGGAAAGCGAAGGGCTCATTTTGAGAATTCTGTGTGTCTGTAGTTTCTAGGGGAGATTTATTAACGAAGGGGGAATGGAGGGGGACTTTGCATGTATTCCGACTACTAAAGAAAGGAGCAAGGTGAGGGCAGGGGGTTGCAGATTTACGTCAGAACAAAGTTGGCAAAGAACGAGAAGTGCGTACCAGAGAGCCAGACCAGAGGATTATAAGGTGCCAGAGGGACTGTGGTGTGGGAAGCGAGAGCGAGAGACTAACAGGTGAGAGAGGGCAGTGGCAAGACTAAGGACGGTGGGCAGTGGCCCTGATATCTGGTTGGAACCCAGATCCCTGCACGTGTAAAGGAGAAGGGGGGTGAGGGAAAAGGGGCATGCATGACTAGCGTTGTAGTAGAAATCCTGGGTAGAGAAACAGGCGGAGCGGACTTTTGAGTCGACTCAAACTGGGGCAAGCAGAGATGTAGAGAAACCGGCGGGGCGGTTCTATGGGATGACAGGTGATTTTCTAGAATTCTCAAAACAGAGCTCTGAAGGTGGGGACAGAACAGGACCGTAACACAAGGGAGATGAGGCAGCGGACAGGGAAGCCACATATGGGGGAGGATGGGAGAGACGAAGGTGGGGAAGGAAGGCGCAACTGCGCTCTTTTTTGTACACGGTGTGTGCATGCTTTCATGTCACACAGCTGTTCAGGAACCTCACAAGTGCATGCGTGCAGCGTGCTTGCACTCACAGTTTCCTGAGGTCCGTGAGTTGGGTGAGGATGGGAAATATGTCTCCAGAGAGCTGGTTGGATGCGAGCACTCTGAATGGGGTTGATTGGGGCACACATGACTTTGGCTGGTGTGACGCGCGTGAATCTGCTCGTGAGTGACTGGTGTTTACAGTGGTGGGTGGTGATGGGTGGTGGTGGCGATGGGTGGTGGTCATGGGTGGTGGTGATGGGTGGTGGCGATGGGTGTTGGTGATGGCTGGCGGCGGTGGCAACAGCAGAGGCTAGCCAGCCCTAAGTTGCCAAATACGCTCAGGACACTGTGCGTTTAGCGGATATACGCTAGCGTTTACACGCTAAACGCTAAACGCAAGCTAATACGCTATACGCTTGCCAATTTTTTTTGGGGCAGCCCGACCGAAAAAAATGTGAATATACGGAAAGATGCGGAATTGCACGACGAGCATTTTGCCACCGTCAAAATTCACGTCCGCGATTTGTGCAAGGGTGAACAGCGATTTCCGCGCTGATCGGCAATTTCCCTTCCGCGCAGATCCGCGCGGATCGAAGGTTCTTCCCGCAGAAGGGATGGGGGGAAAGACTCTCCCTAGAACAACGTCTTGTATATCTGGTTTGGAAGGAAGTGACGTGACGACTGTACAAATTTCAAGTATCAGATTGCTTGGATGAGATAGATGCAATGCGGTGAAGATAGGTGATGGGAGGGGGAATTGGTTGGAGGCAACATTGGCGATGGGTGTGGGGCACGAATTCCAGCATTGGCGATGGTTTCCCTGTCCAGGATCTCTCCTACGCCTCCTCCTACACTCTAGCAATCATGCCCGAAGCAGAGCAGATTCGCGCAACGCTATTGCAGTCTATAGCCTACGAACTCTGCATCTTAACCCGATTTCGGGCCGAGTCGAGGGTGGTTATCTTAGTATGGAGAAAAACTTACCTCTGAAACATAACCCCTTAGATCCCCCCCCTATAACAGCCCGGGCGGATTTTTTCCCCTGCCTGGGAAAGTTTTTTCCCTGCCCCAAAAAGCGTATGTCCAAATCGCTCCCTTACGCGTATAGCGTATATACGCTAGCGGATATACGATACGCGTATATACCCTATAAGCGAATTTTGCAACTTAGAGCCAGCCATGGATGAGTCATGCTGCCATCGATCAGCTGGGGCAAGCCCACTAGTTACTGTGAATTCTGACTAGCCAACAAGCCGGCAGCTGATCAGGCGTGTGGCTCCACGGATGAAGGCAGGCCTGTAGGAGGAGGATGAGGTGCCTTTGGCTCGTCGGCGAGTCAGTACCTTTGGCTGTCGCTGCGCATTTCAGTTCAGTTCAGTGATTGCAATTCGGTAGAGCCTTATCCCAATGTGCAGATTTGGGCTTGATAAGAATGCACACGAATGTGAATGCGCACGAATGCAAAAGTGCATGAATCTGGCACTATTTCCGAGCTGACTAAGCCAGTCAGATAGATTTGATGAGCTGCCGAGCTGGGTCTTGACAGGTGATGTGATTCAACGGCTATGGCATGACATAGATTGAACAGCATGGCTCAACAACAGCATGCTATGAGTAAGGAACCCCATGGCTCACAGATTTTGAAGTTTTTTTAGTCTAGTGAAGGAAGCAGGAATGGAGCCGTCGAGATCATTGCCTGAGATATCACTGCAGGGATACAAGGGAGAGAGGCGTTGGGAGGTGTGAAAGGAGAGATGGAGGGGGAGAGGAGGAGGGAGGGGGGCTGGAGGGAGAAACAGAGGAGGGGAGTATGACTCAGAGCAACCCTTGTATAGGTGTGTGTATGCATGCGTGTAAGCCGTGCCATATCAATATAAGGACCATTTGATGGAGGGAGCGAGGGAGGGAGGGAGGAAGGGAGAGAGGGAGGGAAGGAAGGGGAGAAGGAGGGAAGAAGAGATGGAGCCTGGAGGGAAGGCAAGGAGGGAGGTGGAGAACCCAGGGGATTGTTTTGCAACCCTGGAGGGCTTGATAGGGAAGGGAATAGTTAGTCTTATGTAGGCTCATTTAGGCTCCTCTTGCTCTTGACTGTACTCCAAGTTCTACATCAGCGAAAGGACCATTCGAGGGAAGGGAAGGGGGAAAGGGGGGAGGGGAGGAGAGGGGGGAAGGGGGGAGGGGGGGGAGGGGAGGGACGGAAGACGGGAGGGAGGGAAGGACCAGAGACGACAATAGACAGCGGTAAGAAAGAGATACCATGAGCGGATTCACAAAAAAGATTCGTTGAAGGCAAGTGTATTTACGAACCCTAACCTTGTGGGCGGGTGAGGAAGAAGAGGGGAGGAATCATTGCAAATCAACAAAAAGATGAGGTACGGAATATAAATTGATGGGCGGGTGGGTGAGGGTGTGGAGGAGAGGGGGAAGGAAAATATGGGGGGGGGGGGGGGGGGGGGGGGGTAACAGGTTGGATTCATGCAGCCACTCTTGTAACGGATGTAATGCCTTACACGGTAACTGCACTAGCAACATTGGAAAGTCCCTCGGGAAGAGACCCTGAGAGAGCATTCCCGGACAGGTCACTGTGAAGAATGGTGAAAGGGGGGAATGAATGGAGTTGGAGAGGAAGGAAGGGGGGGTTTGTGTGATGGAGTGAAACGGAATGGGAGAGCGAAGCGCAATCAAACGAGAAGAGAGAGAGTGCTTTGAGGAGTACAAGTGTACAAGAGGAGGGATTGCGGAACGTTAAAGTGAGCTAGAGCTCGCTCTGCTATGGATGAGAGAGTGTATTGAGGAGTAGTACCCTGTAGGGCAAGTTTCCACTTCAGGTTCATTCTAGGTTCATTTTGCTTCGCTGTTGTTGTGTTTGAACAAACTCAACTTGGCCTATGTTCGCATGATTATTTCAACCCAGCCTGCTCTATATGAAGTGAAACGGATTGGGAGAAGTGAATGGTGAACGCACAAGCAAACGAGAAGAGATAGAGAGTGCTTTGAGGAGTACAAGGTGTACAAGAGGAGGAGGGATTGTGGAACGTTGAAGTGAGATAGAGTTCGCTCTGCTATGAATGATGACCCTGTAGGGCAAGTTCCACTTCAGGTTCATTCTAGGTTCAATTCGCAGTTGTTATTTACCTGGTCCATGATGAAATCAATCTTACAGTCCCTGGAAAGGCTCTTTGCTAGCACTTTGGACTAGAAGGCTGCAAAGCCCAATTCAACAGGGCATTGTTTGGGGGTGCATGACACACGTGCAGGTGTGGCTTTTTATGCGCCTCACAAGCCCTTTTTATGCGCCTCACAAGCCCTTTTTATGCGCCTCACAAGCCCTTTTTATGCGCCTCACAACAAGCCCTTTTGAAGCGCCTCACAGGCCTAATCCAACAGTGCATGGTTTGGGTGGACGGGTACATACAGGTGTGTGAATCTGGTGTTGCGGGCTGTTGGTACAGGAATGGAACCTCCAAAACCACTGTTGGCCAAATTACTGCACACAGAGACACATAAGCACTCGCACATGCACATGAACGTGCACACACACACACATACACATGCGCGCGCGCACACACCTTAGTTGGTACTTTACGTTTTTTAGGGTCACGTAAAGCGTAAACTTACGTTGAGTTTACCTTTACGTTTTCTTACGCGTAATATTACGTAAAGTTGCAGGGGCAGGGCAAAAAAGTTTTTTTTTGCCTGCGAAATGGAAAAACCTGACTGATATGAGGTGGGAGAGGCTGTGACATGTCGGTGTAGATTTGGGGCATCTGTAAGTTGATGTAATAATGTCAAACATGCTTGGGCATAGAAGAACCAAGCTAGTGATTGATTAGGCGCTTCCCATGCAGCCGCTTAATCCGATGATTTCCTATCTTTCCGGGCAATCAGAAATGTTTCTGGCTGACCGTAAACGTAAAGCTGTTTTGGGCCCACGTAAGGAAACGTAAGTTTACTACGTAAAGTCACGTACACGTAAACCCCCGTAAACGTAAAATGTCAACTAAGGCACACACACACACGCACACACATGAGACCAAAAAAAAAAGGAACAGGAAAATAGTTCAAGAGACTCCTCTGGAAGGGATGGCAGTGGGTACAGGTACAGGTCTCTCGCCTAGTACTCAGTGAGTTTACCTCTCAAATTAACCATCACTGGTCGGACAAACCGAGCCTGCTGCTTTCTATCCGTTTCTCATTTGAGATAGCAGTGGGTGCAGGTCCAGGTTTCAGAGCCTTTTGGGAGCGCCAGAGGAATAGAGGGAGAGGGAGAGATGAAGAGAGGGAGAGAGGGAGAGAGGGAGAGAGGGAGAGAGGGAGAGAGGGAGAGAGGGAGAGAGGGAGAGAGTAGTGGCGGCTTACAGAGAGGCAAGCCCCGTGAAGTCGAGGAGGAACTGCGGTATAGTCTCTGTAAGAGGAACTTCGTTGTTGTTGTAATCGCTGTGATGAGGACACGGGGGCACGAGATAGAGGCAGCAGCACGAGGGGTAGGGTAGAGACAGAGGTGCGGACAGAGGTGTGAGAGGCGCCCATGTGGGGTGGGTGGGGTGGCCATCTCGCTGCAATTGGCTACCCCATCACAGATATGATATGCAGCAACAGGGGCGTATCTGAAAGGGATAGCAGTGGGTACAGGTCCAGAGTTCTGAGCCGAGCCTTGTGGTTGGGACATGCAGCAGAAATGAATACTGGAGCGAAGGATGCATCATATCCTGGCATTGCAATGCAAGCGTCAATGCATTGGCCCAACACTTGGCTGGCAACGCATGGCATTGCAAAGCGTCCAGCATGCAGGTAGCGAGAGTCACTGCCCGAGGGAACAATCTGACTTCTGAGTCGACTCAAAAGTCACCCAGCATGCACGCAGGTAGCGAGAGTCACTGCCCGAAGGAACAATCTGAGCACAGCCATGAGATGAGAGCAGAGCAGAGCAGGGCACAACTGTCTTGCAGCAAGAGCAGGGAAGCACTCACAACGCCTCAAGGTTCTCAAGCTTGGAGAGAGAGTCGGAAGGGGGGACCATGAAACCACAGTTCGACAGGCCACTGCCAGCAGACAGGGAGGAGAAGAATCGGGGAAGAGGCAGGGATAATGGGTTTAGAGTGGTGGAATGGGAGGGGAAGGGATGGGTGGACATTGGAAGGTGTGACGACGAGGCCCGTGAGGCAGGCGCCAGGCAGTATAAAAGGGACGGAGGGAGCAAGCGAAGTATGGGCAGTGTGTGATTGCATAATGGCATAGAAGAGAGTTGAGAAAGGAATATAGGAAGATATAACCAAGCAGAGAGTGCAACAGCTTACCGGCGGCATAGCAGAGAGTGCAACAGCTTACCGGCGGCATAGCAGAGAGTGCAACAGCTTACCGGCGGCATAGCAGAGAGTGCAACAGCTTACCGGCGGCAACAGCATGCTGAAACAGGGACAGGTGAGGTGAGGCTCCTGGGCGTGGTGCTGAAATAAGTGAGGCAAGATGTGTGCGGCGCAGCAAGGTGCGATGCAGCACAACAAGGTGTTGTGCGGTGCAACAAGGTGTCGTGCGGTGCAACAAGGTGCTATGGTCAGAGGTAATTGTAGCGAGAGGAAGCACGCGCTCACAGGTAGGTGAGGGTTGTGAGGACGGAGATTGGATCAGCATAATCTGCGATACTGTTGCCACTCAGGTTGCTGCGAGGAAAATGCAGGGAGGCTAAGGTGAATGGCGTGGAGGATTGAAAACTGCGATGGAAATGAGATTGAGAACTGGCATGGAAGGGAAGTGAATGGAGATAATTGGCCACTTGGCAGGCGAAGGGAAGGGGAAGGGAAGGGAGAATCGAAGGAGAAGGGTAAGGGGAAGGGGAAGGGGAGGGATGTATCGAGAGAGAATAGTGTGGGATTTGACACAGATGGTGTTGAGACAGGGTATGGCGACTGAGAACATTCGAAAGTGATCCTAGCATTGTTTGACACCCAACTTCCATGAGTTGGGTGAGGAAGGAGAGAGGAGGAAGGGAGGAATGGAGGGGGAAGGAAGGGGGAGGAAGGAGGGAGGAGGGAAGGTGGAGGGAGGAGGGAGGGGGGGAAGGAGGAAGGATGTGGGAGGAGGGACTTACAGCTGTTGGAGGAAACCCAAGTTGCTAAGAGGATCCGGAAGCGGTCCCAAGATTCGAGTGCTGCTAAGGTCTCTGCCATGCCATGCCATGCCATACCATGCCCATGCCCATGCCCATGCATGAGGAGGTGGGGAAAGGGTGATGAGCAAAAACATTGGTACGGCATGACTTGAAAGAATGCAAGATTCACCAGATTCTAGAAATGGGGATGGATGAAGGAAGGAATTACCAAAGAAAGGATGCATGACGGAAGGGAGGGATACAGAAAGTGGATGCATGAAGGAAGGGAGGGATACAGAAAGAGGATGCATGAAGGAAGGGACTGCAGATTGGGAATGCATGAAGGAAGGGATTACAGGAACGGGGATGCATCAGTATCATGGCCCCAAGGGACTGAGGGACTGAGTGGGCATGCATTAACCAGCTGAGTGATGGCACTTCCACTCCACACATGAGCCCCCTAGGCCCATGTCATCTAATCGCATGCCTGCTGTGCCATGCCATGTCATGCCATCTCATGGCATGCCGTGTCGTGCCATGTTATGCCATGCCATCTCAGGCCATGCCATTCCATCCCATGCCACGCCACGCTGAAGCCATGCCATGCCATGCCATGTCACGCCATAACATACCATCTCAGGCCATGCCGTGACATGCCATCCCATGCCATGCCACGAGAAAGCCATGCCATGTCACGCCAAGACATGCAATGCAGCAGAAGCCACCACTGGAGACGGTAGCTGGTGCTGTGAACACCCCGTTCACAGCAGAAAGAGGCTAGTGAGGTACTTTCGAGTCAAGTTATAAGTCTATCTTGTTTGCTACAATGATGCTTACAGGACGGAGAGTCTGATGAGCGAAAGGATCTCCCCAGGAAGCGCACTTTCAAGCTTAACTCCCCCCATACGCCTGAGGCGAGGCGAGAGCAAGGTGCAAGGGAAATAGAGTGCGTGGGGACAATGTAGAGTGTACGTGTTTTTAGCGGGGGTTGTTTGTTGTGAGGTTTGGTTGGAGTCTGAGGGATTGTACAGTGTACATGTTTTACCAGGTGTTGTGAGGGTTAATTGGAGTCTGAGGGGTTGTTGAGTGTACATGTTTTAGCAGGGGTTGTGAGGGTTAATTGGAGTCTGAGGGGTTGGGATGGGACCGAAACCAACCAGGTGTGAGGTGATAAGAGCTGCTTGAACGACAGAAGGAGTAGCAACTGATGAGGAAGCTCAAGAAACGAGGTCCAATGATTGAAAAACAACAGGGCTGGTTCACGAGTTGCTATGCAGTGCAGCAATAGCATGGCGAGAGACTGGAAAAAATGGTGGGTATCTGGTGGTGCAGTTGTGTTGGTGCTGGTGCTGGTGCTGGTGCTGGTGCTGGTGCTGGTGCTGGTGCTGGTGCTGGTGCTGGTGTTTGTGGTGCTGGTGGTGGCGCTGCTGCTTAGTGCTTCTTTCTGGTAGTGGTGTGCGCGCATTGCGAACAATAATTCGTTACTGAGTGCTCTAGTAAACGCACAGAACTTCCAAATTGGTGAGGTCACTTATCCCTGCTGAAAGGGTTCCCGTAAATTGGTTGTTTGAGATGTCCCTGATGGGAAGAGAGAGAACGAGAGAGAGAGGTAGGAACCGCTTCAGGGCCAGCCCCTTGGCGAAATCGGCCAAGAAGATGGCCTGCCACTTCAGCCAGCGCTGGTCAGTGGCCCTCCAGCGCTCCCAGGCGAATGCCCTGCACACCAAGGCCAGGGCGTGGATTGAGGCAGCGCACCCCCAGATGGCAGCGGACCCCTGGCCGCTGCACCTGGGGGACATCCCACACACGCTAGAGGGCTAGAGGGTCACTCACGGGGGAGGGGAGGGGAAGAGGGGTGAGTTGATGGGCTTATGGGATAGAGGTTATCATGGATAGAACTGCATGTCTGTACCCCTGCTGAATTAATACAACGGACCATTTGAGAGGTAGGGAGGGAGGGAGGGAGGGAGGGAGGGATGGAGGGAGAGAGCGAGAGAGAGGGGAGGAGAATAGGATTGGGAGCTTCATTAGGCTTCGTTTGTTGCCATTTGCTTAGCTTTGTTGATGATTGTCTGGTTGCCTTACCCTGCTTGTTCGTTGCTTATTCTAATACAAAGGACCGTTCGAAAGAGAGAAAGAAAGAACGGAGAAAAAAAAAACAGTTCAGAGAGCATCACCCACATGTTTGTGTGTAACACTGCCTATAGTTGATCATTTTTTTCATGTATTTGGAGCTTTCGATTCATGTTTCCGAGCTCTATCTAGCTGCTGTAGTGGTGAAATTCTACAAGTACAGCACTGCACAGCACGGCAAGGATGAGCAGAGCACAGCAGAGCAGCTCACGGGAGAGAAGTGCACCGCACGCGCTGGACAACAGTGACAGAGAGTAGCAGAACGGACTCGCATTGCAAGTCATGAGCCACATGAGCCACGCCCACTTCCATGATCAATCCATCCATGCACTAGCTAGCTATCTTTTGATACCATTTTTTAGGCGCCTAAAAACCATCCATCCATGCACTGGCTACCTAATGAAACCACTCCCATCGGCTCTCACCCCACTCGATCCCACTGCACCCTCCCTCCCCCCTTTCCCACCTCCCAGCACGAGCCATGAGCAGTAGACATACAGCATGCAGTGAGTGAGAGTGGACACACAGCAAGCGAGTATATGAGCGGAGCCAAGGCAAGAGCGGACGCACGGTACAGTGACAGTTTCTTAGGCGCATCAAAATACACAGCATGCAGTGAGTGAGTGAGTGAGTGAGAGAGGACACACAGCAAGCATGCATAGATACGAAGGCAAAGCAAGGGCAGACGCACAGTACAGTGATGGTGGCAGTACAGACGCAAGCAGTAAGTATGGTGCCCTGTCCACACTGCTTGTCACCAGCTGGTACTTTTGAGGCGCCTCAAAAGACGACTTGACACTAGATGGTTGTTTTGTTAGGCGCCTCAAAAGACGACTATTGAGGCACCTCAAATATGGAGCCAAGGTAGGTGGAGACGCACAGTAGTGTGACGGTGGTGAAAGAAGCAAGTACTGTGTTCACATCGTTGGAGACCAGCTGGTTGTTGGCGAATGACCTGCGGTGGGGGAATGGCGACGGAGCGCACATTTTACCAAGGCATAGAGCAGCAGTGCTTACTGGTGGTAACTGGTTGTCACCGAATATGTATATATCGTAATAGTCATACGGTGACAGTTTTGTGGGTGCAGTGGTGTAGTGTGGCTACTGCTTAGGAGTAGGTTAATGCAAGTAGGAAAAGGACAGTGTCAACTGAATTGGCTGGCAGGGGGTTGATAGCTAGTTGAATGTGGAGCACAGAAGATGGGAGCAAGAGTGGGTGGGGAAAACGATGTGGGGGAGGAGAGGGAGAGGGCGGAGACAGCAACAGAGAATGTGGGGTGCTAAGAGGGAAAGAATGGGGTAAAAGGATGGAGACGTCTCAAAACTGTCTGTGGAGGGCAAACACACATGGGGGAACACACGCACACACATGGGGGAACACACGCACACACATGGGGGAACACAAACACACACACACATGGGGGAACACACGCACACACACATGGGGGAACTCACAACTCCGAAAGTTTATTCAATCCCATCAGCGCAGTGGGAATAGTCCCAACGAGGCTGTTGTCGTTGAGGTACCTGCATGGGCATCGGGGCAAGGGAAGGGAAGGGAAGGGAAGGGAAACAGGAAAGAGCAGAGCCACTACGTGTGACAACTTTTGAGGCACCTCAAAAGTCCCAGCAAGGCTGTTGTCGTTGAGGTACCTGCATGGGCGGGAGAGGACAGGACAGAGCCACCACGTGTGTTGCTCTGTGTGTGTTGCTCTTTGAGACGTCTCAAAACTCAAAACTAATTCGAGCATGGTCGGCCGCCTTATCGAGCATCACCCTGTCCTGTCCCCCCCATGCTCAAGGCACGTTTTGAGGCTGATATCGAGCATCACCCTGTCCTGGGGGAACATGTGTGTTGTTCTGGGTGGCTAGAAGCAATGTTATGAGGCTGCTGTCGTAAAGGTACCTGCATGGGGGAGCCAGGACAGGCACAAGGCAAGTGCCTTCAGCTGCTGTGCTGTGTTGTGTTGTGTTAGTCAGCTCAGCAGCGCTAGCCGGGTGAGTGCTGCGTTTGCAGTGCAGTGCACTGCACGTCGCATGAATTTCAGGTTTGCTGTCTGTGCATGCATGCACACTGCAGACTCGACTCGAATCTAATCGAATCGAATCGAATCAGATGCAGCAGAGCAAGTTTGATTCAGCATCCAAACTCATGGCGAAGAAGGGCAGCAGTATTGTTTTTTTGCTGCAGCCTGCTCCAAAAGGAGTTGTCGCTGAATCGACTCGAATCGAATCAGATGCAGCAGAGCAAGTTGTATTCAGCATGGCCGGCCGCCTTATCAGGCTTGCAGGACGGATGAAGCGGATGCAGGACGGATGATGGGGATGCAGGACGGATGATGGGGATGCAGGACGGATGAGGGGGGAGGAGGAGGAGCAGTAGGGAAGCTTACAAGTAATTCAGATTGGTCAGAAGTGCTAGTTCTGAAGGAAGAGACCCTACAAACTGGTTCTTGCCAAGGCCTCTGGTGTTGACAAGGCAAGGGGGTAAACAAGGGGTACAGGGAAAGGAGGGCCAGGAGGATGGGAGGAGCATGCTTTCAAGTCATTACACAGAGCAACTGAGTTTCCTGGAATAAACTTGGGTGAGGTGAGGAGGTTTGAGTCAACCCACAACAGCCTAGTCTTTGAATCATCATCTCACATGCATGCACACACACACAGACACGCACACGCACACACACACACACACACACACACACACACACACACACACACACACACACACACCCTGCCAACGAACAAACACCATTGTGCTGCAAGAGCCTCTCATAGGCACAGCCCTTGCAGCTGGCTATGTTATGAGCCGCGTGTCATCATGTCTGTCAGCATATATAGGTGTGGATCAACATTGAGAGGCTCACAGATACTGCAGGTTTGTCAGGAGGCTCAATCCAACAGGCACGCTTCCATCCAGCTGGTTACCACTCAGGTTTCTGGTTTGAAAGGGGTTGCAGAGGGGTGAAGAAAGGTGCAGAGGTGCATGCGACACGGGAGCGGGAGACACGATGGGACGGGTCGAGAGGGCTGCATTGGCATAGGCAGATTGACTGATTGACAGGAAACCAACGTTAGGACGTGAAGGACGGATTAGGGATGTGAAGGGTGCAAGGGGGTGGGAACTGAACGCAGTGTCGAACGTGCTCCAGTTGTGGGGTCAGGAGGGGGACAAGTCGCTGCCCGCAGCATGCTTGATTTAAATTTTAGATTGCTAAAAAAGAGCCCGAGACCTCTGCGCTCAGGCGTTTCAAAAAACAAAGCCTTACAGCAATTCGAGACGTTGCAACAAGTTCAGCTTGGCAGGAATTGATCCCGAGAGCTGGTTGTTGTGGAGAAGACTGGGAGGTGGCATGGAGGGCGAGAGAGGGGGAAAGGGGGGAAGAAGGGGGGGGGGGGGGGGGGGGGGGGGGGAGGTGGGGGAGATGAGCATGAGGAGGCGGGTTGAGAGACAGCAGGAGGGTGAGCGTCAGGAGGGGGGTCAGGAGAATGTCCAACCAAGGCCTTGGAGTTGTGGTGATTGGCATGGCATCTGTGGAAGAATGTTCTCTGGGATAGATAAATCCTGAGTTTTGTTTTGAGATGTCTCAAATACTCGAAGCATGTCCTCTGGGATAGATGGATAGATAGATCCTGAGAGGATGTTTGAGGCGTTGTTGCTACAGATATTGGCATCAAAGAGGGGGGGGAGGGGGGGAGGGGGGAGGGAGGGAGGGAGGGAGGGGGGGAGGGGGGGAGGGGGGAAGGGAGGGGCCCAACCCAAAAGGAGGTGTTGTTGTTACAGCCTGGATTGAGCATTGAGTCGAGTGGCTTAACCCTGTAACTTACAGGATATTGATGTTGCCGATGACTGCAAGCATGTTCTCCGGGATAGTTCCTGAGAGCTGGTTGTCGTTCAGGCGCCTGATGCCATGTGCCATGTGCCATGTGCCATGTGCCATGCAGCACGGAGAGAGGGGCGCAGAGGACATGCAAGGTAGGGTAGGGATGCGGAGCAGGTGGGGGTGGGGTATGCAGGGGGTAAGAGCAGTGGGAGGGAGAAGGGGGCGGGCGGATGGATAGGGAGGGAGGGAGAGGGGAAATAGAAGATGGGTAGGGTGGGAGAGAGGGAGGAGGGGATGGGGAAGTGGAGGTGTCAGATAAGGAGATGAGGAAGCGAGGAGACTGGGAGAGACAGGGGCGGGGATAGGGAGATGGAATGGCTGGATAGTAGGAAGGAACAACAACGAAGAGAGTAGATGGATGGGGAGAGAAACAACGTGGAGCCGAGCAGGAAGGAAGAGATGGTGCTTTTAAGAATGCTCAAAAACACCCAGGGACAGTAAGGCGTGTGCGGTGGGGTGCGGTGATGGAGGATATGACAACACTGTGAGGTGGCACACGAGGTGCTACTTGTGTAGCGCACACACACACACACGCGCGCGTGGTGCAACATGTGTAACATGCATGTATTGCGACATGGCATGGCAGTGAGTGTATAACTAATAAGGATACACACAACAACCACAACAAGGACGTATAGTCCGTATTCATGGGGATGAGATGAAATCAGTGAGCGCATGCGAGTGTATGTGTGTGCGCGCGCGCATGTGCCTGTGAAATTAATGAGTGCCTGTGAAATTAAATGAGTGGCGGTGAAATTAGTGAGTGCCTGTGAAATCGGTGTGCAACAAGTCACTGAAAACACAGAAGAGGAAAGGGTGAATAAAAGAGTTGACTGGCGTCCATGCAAGCATGAAGCTGCTGCGATACAGACAGAGCTCGCAACAACAACCACTCCCAGTTGTAACACCTTCTTCCAGTTGTAACACCCCCACTCCCTATCGCAACACCCCCACTCCCTATCGCAACACCCCCACTCACTCACAGTCGCAGCAGGCCCCCAGGCTTGCTATAATCTGAGGTGAGGTGACTTTTGAGTCGACTCTAAAGTCAACACCACTCCCGGTGTAACACTCACAGTTGCAGCAGGCCCCCAAACCTACTGAAGACTGCCGGTATGGAGCCACTCAGCTGGTTGTTACTAAGGTCCCTGCATGCATCCATACGTGCATTGCATGCATGCATACATGCATGCGTGCATGCATCAAATACATGCATGCATGCATGCATGCATCCATACGTGCATCATTCCCACCCCCCCTTCCCCCCCCATCCACCCATTCACCCATGCACCCAACCACCCATGCACCCATCCACCCATCCACCCATGCACCCATGCACCCACCCATACATTGTGAGCTGGGCGGCAGATCTTTAAAGTTCGACTCAAAACGCAAGTGCGCACAATGATTCGCTCACATGTGTTTTGAGCGAGATATACCCGGCACGTCAAAAAGTATGCATATCCGCAGATCAACACACACAAGATCAGCAGCATGGCATGAAGTCAGCTTGACGTCAGAATTGCATGCATGTATGTCGTCAGCAGCATGATGCAAGCATGACATCAGCATGACGCAAGCATGACATTAGCATGACGCAAGCATGCCATTAGGCATTATCATCAGAGTAGTAAGCCAGAACCACTATCCAACCAAGACAGAGAGGAAGGAGTATGGGAGCAGGGGAGCAAAGGACACAACAACACAGTGACAGCCTGCAATCACAGCCTGCAATCACAGCCTGCAATCACAGCCTGCAATCACAGCCTGCAATCACAGCCTGCAATCACAGCCTGCAATCACAGCCTGCAATCACAGCCTGCAATCACAGCCTGCAATCACAGCCTGCAATCACAGCCTGCAATCACAGCCTGCAATCACAGCCTGCAATCACAGCCTGCAATCACAGCCTGCAATCACAGCCTGCAATCACAGCCTGCAATCACAGCCTGCAATCACAGCCTGCAATCACAGCCTGCAATCACAGCCTGCAATCACAGCCTGCCATGACAGCCTGCCCAGTTTCGAGGCGCCTCAAAACTAGACAGTCTGCCATGGCAGCCTGCCCTGCTGAAATCACTTCTGATAACTCTCAAAAGTGCCCTTTAGGTGCCCATCACACTCAGTGCCCATCATTTAGTGTCCCCCATCATCAACTGCTCATCATTCAACAATCATTATTCACATACAAGTCCAGTCCACAAAAGTGCCCTTTGCAGATGTCTCTCCCATAAGCCCCTTACTTCTTACCTCAAACCACAGGCCCTCTGAACCTCCTCTCCCCCTCCTTTCAGCTCATTCAGAACACCAGGGTTGGCAAAGTATGACGGAAGGAAGGGGGCTTGTAAGCTTTTGAGGCGCCTCCAAATGCCAATCCAACCCATACAACCCTAACCCAACCTCACCCACCCCAACCCCTTTCCACCTCCTCCCACGATCCTTACAGCTGATTCATAACACCAGGTTGGGCAAAGAACGACGGAAGGGGGCCTGTAAGCTGATTGCCAGACAGGTCCCTGTAAAGGGGGCGCAATGGGGGGGAGAGGAGGGCTATTGATTTTTAATGGATCGACTCATCAACCGAAGAAGGGTGATAAGGGGCCCTGTAAGCTGAGTCCCAGAAGGTCCCTGTAAAGGGGGCGCAATAAGGGGGGAGGATGGTTATTTTTCTTATGAATCGACTCAAAAACCCTTCTTATGAGTCGACACAAAAACCCTTCTAATGATTCAACTCAAAAGACGAAGAAGGGTGAGAAGGGGACCTCTGTAAGCTGATTCCTGGTCGGATTCCTGTGCAGTGGGTGGTGTTTTGAGTCGACTCAAAACATGACTCCTGGCCATGTTCCTGTGCAGCGGGTGCAATGGGAGGAAGGATGCGCTTCGATTTGACCCATGTGTAATGTTCCCAGCATGCTATGGGAGAGCTTGAGATGAGCGAAGGAGAGAGGGCAGGGAGCGACTTTTGAGGCGCCTCAAGAGTCACCTTGCACTGGGAGGAAGGAAGGGTGCGCTTTGATTTGACCCATATGTAATGTTCCCAGCATGCTATGAGAGAGCTTGAGACGAGGGAAGGAGAGAGGGCAGGGAGCGTGCGAGCGAGGGTGTAGAAATGCTGGATGGCGGTGGGAGAGGCAAGGAAGTGCCAGAGCGCAGTTGGCGGAGAGTGAGTGAGTGAGCGAGCGAACGAGCGAGCCTGCGTGCGTGCGTGCGTTGTTAGAATTAGGCTATCAACACTTTGTGTACTATATTCTATATCGCATAGGTTATTTGCGGGTTGGGTGTAGTTTGTGATCCCAACCCTATCTGGTTGGGATTCCCTCGTAATCCTGCAAATCTGCCAACTCACCAATTGGAGATTTGCTAGGATTCCCATCCCATCTTTTCCCTAGCCTTGTCCATCCCAACCTCGTTTGTACTTAAGGCCTAGTGCCTTCTTTCCTAATCAATCAGTTCAGTTCCAATTCTATCATGGTATCGAGCTAGCAAATTCCGCTCACGCGGAATCCGATCCTTGGCGTCGCGATCATTCTCTTCCTCTCGGCTATGGCGTTCTCGGTTCACGCCTTCTTCACTTAGCGTTTTTCGTCTTCACATCGTCGCACTGGTCAAAAGCGCTTTCCCGCTCCGTCTACGTGCATTTCCGATTTCCACGGCGGCACATTTCTCCGTCAATTTCCTTCATCGTAAGCTCTGAAATTTCAAATTTCCGTGGCAATTTTCTCACATTCGAAACTTCCAGCAGGTTTTCATCGGTGCAGCAGAGCAGGTTCAGCGGCGCAGCAGAGCAGGTTCAGCGGCGCAGCAGAGCAGGTCAGCGGCGCAGCAGAGCAGGTTCAGCGGCGCAGCAGAGCAGGTCAGCGGCGCAGCAGAGCAGGTTCAGCGGCGCAGCAGAGCAGGTCAGTGGCGCAGCAGAGCAGGTTCAGCGGCGCAGCAGAGCAGGTCAGCGGCGCAGCAGAGCAGGTTCAGCGGCGCAGCAGAGCAGGTTCAGCGGCGCAGCAGCACAGGTCAGCGGCGCAGCGGAACAGGTCATCGGCGCAGCAGAAAAGGGGTCATCGGCGAAGCAAAGAAGCAGAACAGGAATCGCAATCTTATTGGCGAAATCGCACATTTCCGCATTTCGGACTTCATCAATTTTCAAAATCGCCGCGCTGCGTATCGTTGACTTTAGCGCTGCGCTCCGCGCGAATGGCGACTTCAACTTCTACCCTAGTCGGAAACCTCATCATTCTCAACCTCGCTCCCAACGGCACGAGCACCAACTTTGGAGAATGGTGCTATGGGGTGGAGAAGCACCTCCTTAGCACGGAACTGAAGGGGATTTGCCTCAAGGACATCCTCCTCAACCGCGGCAAGGGAAAGATGCCTCTCCCTCCCGATCCCCTTGGCGAAGGCGCCACTGCCGCAGAGAAGGCCGCTTTTGACGCTCAAACCACCAAGTACGAGACTGATTTCAGTGTGTGGGAGCAGGCTGACGCAGCAGTTATTAGGGTTTTCATCACCACCACTCCGGTTGAGCTCGTCAAATCCTACCGCACCTTTCGCTCCGCTCATGCGATTTGGAAGTACCTCCAGGACCGTTTCCATGACAAGACAGCAGTGGGTGTTGCCATCCTCATCCCTCGAATGTTCCAGGTCCGCCTTGAGGAATGCCCTGGCATGGCATATTACATCTCTGAAATCCGCAACATCCATGAGGAACTCAAGGACATTGGGATCATCTTCCCCGAACAAGCACCTGCAGCTGGCCTACTTGTAGGACTGACCCTGGCCTACAATGTCACCAGCTCCATGCTCAAGCAACTTCCCACCAAGGAACTCACCTTCGAAAAAGTTGCATCGGCTCTCCTTTCCGCCAAAAAGGACCTTGCAGCCCAAGCATCCGTCAATGCTGTGCGCTATACCCCTGGAATCCCATTCCGCTCCCAACAAGAACCAAGGCGCAACTCCTTTCCCCCATGCCCCTACATCATTAGGAAAGGCCCACGTGCGGGGCAGAAATGCGGAGGCACCAACCACCCTGAGGCAACTTGCTTCAAGAAGCGAGATGATGAGTGGTACGACGTCCATGGTGTCTCGACCAACAAGCGCCCTCCCAACTGGGCCCCACCCCGTCGCGTGAACCATGTCGAGGCAGTGGAGGTGCCTAGTCCCTCAGTTGATAGCACCCCATCTGATATTCGCCTCAACCTGTTGTTCTCTGGTGCTGGTCTTATTAATGAGAAGGGGTCACAGTACATCGGTGTTTCAAACACACAAGGGATCGAGTTCATACTAGACAGTGGTGCCACCCACACAGTGCTCAAAGACCAAACCGCGTTCGTTCCTTACCAGGCTCCCATCCCACTCCTCGGAGCCGACTCTAGTTTCTCCATCCAATGCCATGAGTCCTCCACAGTTCGTTGTCCAGCATTTCCATCGGGCACAGTTACTGGCATCTGTGCCCCCACCCTCCGCCACAACCTCCTGGCACAAAGTGAAATCCAACAAGCAGGAGTGATCACCATCTTTCCCAATGATGTCAACTACTGTGACCTCTTTGACGCCAAAACCGGCATTCATCTAGCCCGCTTCACTCTCAATTCCAACAACCTATACACGCTCGTAGTACCTCCCATTCAAACGTGCTCCCTCACAAACCTCCCGTTACCTTCCCTTGACTCCTCCACCTGTCACTGCCGCCTCCTTTCCGACAATACCATGCTCTTTCATCACCGCCTTGGCCACATCAACTTTCGCGCGCTTTCAGACCTTGCCACAAAACAACTCCTCCACAGGCTTCCAACCTCACTTCCCTCTCCTACCTTCACCCTAGGGCCGCCTTGCCTTGACTGTGCACAGAGCAAGCTTCGTAAACAGCCCCATCCCCCCACTGAGTCCATCTCCGCTGCACCTCTCGATCGCGTGCACATGGACCTTTGGGGCCCAGCTCCTGTTCGCTCTCGCGGTGGACACCTTTACTTCCTTGTCATCATTCATGACTATTCCCGCTATGTGTCTGTCCACCTTTCTCCTCCAAATCCGAAGCCCCGGGCGTCATCATTGAATGGGCGAAGCAGGCTCACAAACACTTCAAAACCACCATCAAGGTCCTTCACTCTGACGGTTGCGGTGAATTCCTCAACAACACTTTCAAAGCTTACTGCTCCACTGACGGTATCCGTCAGACCTTCACTCTTCCGGACAGTCCCCAACAGAACGGTACTGCCGAAAGCCGGAACCGTACATTGGTGCAGATTGCTCGCTGCCTCCTCACGCACGCCTCCGCCCCTCCCTCTCTCTGGGGGTACGCCATGCTTCATGCTGCCGCCCTCCACAATCTCCATCCCCATCCTCATCACACCCACACCACCCCCGCTCAGCTATGGACGGGTCAAAAGCCATCCGTCCGCCCTCTTCATGTATGGGGGTGCGCTTGCTATGTCCTACTCAACTCCCAAGCCCGTCGTGCGGCTGGCGGCAAACTTGCTCCCAAAGCGATCACGTGCGTATACCTCGAGCACAACTTAGATTCGCCAGACTATCTCTTCCTCCATCCTTCCACCAACAAGCTCTATCGCAGCCAGGACGTTTACTTTGATGAGTCCCACCCATTCTACCCCTCCTCCAAGGCTTCCCCCTCTCCTCCGCCTCCCTCTCTTACTTGGGCTGACTTTGACAGTCTCCCTCTTCCCGACACTCCATCTCCTCCTCTTCCCGCTCCCTCCACCATTTCTGATCCCCCATCACCCGCTTCCCCCTCCAATACCACACAGTCTCCCTCGCTCCCTCCCTCCTCCGCTACCCCTTCTCCATCTCCTCTCGCATCTCCTCCTACCGAGCCCGTTCCTCTCAAAACCAACCAACGCCGTCACCGAGCTCCTCCTCCTCCTGCTCCCACCCCTGATCCCGATCCTGTCTCCACTCTCCCTCCCACTCCCACCTCCCCTTCCGCTGCGCCTACTCCGGCCCCGCCTCCTTCACCCATCGTTTCTCGCACCCGCTCTCGCACACCTCCACAACCGTTCTCCCTTTCCGTTCGCGTCTCTCTCAATCCTCCTCCTGTCGGGGGTGATTATTCTCTCATGCCATCCCTCCTTGAAGACAGACATGAGGAGTTGATTGATATCGACTCAGCCATCCACGCACTCTGCTTCCTTTTTCCAGACATTGCAGACTCTCCCACCCTCAATTTCTGCGACAACCCCTCCATCCCCACACCTCTCACCTATGCTGAAGCAGTCTCTGGTCCTCACGCCGCTCAGTGGTTGGGGGCCATTGTCGCATAATGTGAGGCCTTCATTCACACAGGAACTTTCACAGACGTCTCTCCTACCTCCGGAGGTCAACATTGTGAAGGGAAAATGGGTCTTAAAAGCCCGGTACTGTGCCAATGGATTTACCCAAAAGCGTGGAGTGGACTTCTTTGAGACATTCTCTCCCACCGCCAAACCTCCCACACTGCGCACCCTTCTCGATGTCGCTGCTCGAGATGACATGGAGGTTGACTACATGGATGTGTCTTCTGCGTTCTTGCAAGGGATCCTTTGAGAGGAAATCTATATGGAACGGCCCGAAGGATTTCCAGCTCCTTTTCCACCAGGCACTGTATGGAAGCTGAATCGGCCAGTGTATGGCCTCAAGCAAGCTCCCCGGGAATGGCACAACAAGCTCAAGAGCACCTTAGGGTCCCTCGACTTTCACCCATCCACCTCTGACCCCAGCCTCTTCATCCGAGCAACACCCTCCCGGTTCTTCATCCTCGTTTATGTCGATGACATGATCCTTGTCACCAAGGATCAGACTGGGCTGGCAGCAGTCAAAACCGCACTTGGTGAGAAGCTGGTCATGAAGGACCTTGGGAAGCTGACGAACTATTTGGGAATGGAAATCACACGTGATCGCACAGCCCGCACCATCACCTTTTCGCAGAAGTTTTACATCAACAACGTTCTGACGAGGTTCTAGATGCAGGAAGCAGCATCAATGCCCACCCCACTCTCTCTGCAACACCAACTCACTGCACCCTCCGTTCCCTCACCTGAGCCCTGTGACGAGCCTTACCCCGAGCTCGTGGGATCCCTCATGTACACGAATGTGCACTCGACCAGACTTAGCCTATCCAGTCAGTGTAGTGTCCCGCTACGTTGCACCTGGTCGCTTCACTCGCCACCACTGGTCTGCCGCCAAGCGGGTTCTTCGCTAACTCAAAGGTGTCAGAATACCAACCACTAGACCATTGGGATAAAAGGGCTTGTTAAATAGCGGATCAGAGTGCGCCCATAACCCCCCAGGCAAACGCGCCTGTAACCCCCCGTAGGATAGATCGGGCATCCACAGTGCAGATCTACTGACAAAAGGCACACAGGATTATGTGCTCACACTTGGCGGCACCTCCCCGGTTCGCCTTGAGGGGTACAGTGACTCATCCTATGCTGATGACCAGAGTGATCGGCGCTCGTCCCAAGGGTATTTCTTTACCCTTGGCAGTGGGGTTGTAAGTTGGCACTCCACTCGGTCGTCCTCCGTCTCACTGTCGACCTGTGAGGCAGAGCTGTATGCCGGGACCATGGCTGCACAAGAGGCTCGTTGGCTCTCCTTCCTGCTAATAGAACTGGGGTATCCCCAACCAACCCCAACGCTTTGGTGTGACAACGAGAGCACCATTCATCTCACCAAAGACCCCGTTTTCCATGGCCGCACCAAGCACATTGAAGTCCCTCACTACTTTCTTCGTGAGCTGGTGCAGCGCGAGCAGCTGAAGGCTGAACACATTGCCTCCGACTGCAACCTTGCTGACTTGTTTACCAAGTCGCTTCTTCGCGAGGATCATTACCGCCTCCTCACGGCCATGGGTGTTGGGCCTCCTTGTGGCTGATGTGTTGCAGCCTAGGGGGTGTGTTAGAATTAGGCTATCAACACTTTGTGTACTATATTCTATATCGCGTAGGTTATTTGCGGGTTGGGTGTAGTTTGTGATCCCAACCCTATCTGGTTGGGATTCCCTCGTAATCCTGCAAATCTGCCAACTCACCAATTGGAGATTCGCTAGGATTCCCATCCCATCTTTTCCCTAGCCTTGCCCATCCCAACCTCGTTTATACTTAAGGCCTAGTGCCTTCTTTCCTAATCAATCAGTTCAGTTCCAATTCTATCATGCGTGCGTGCGTGCGTGCGTGCGTACGTGCGTACGTGCGTGCGTGCGTGCGTATATGTGTTGAGAGGCGCCTCAGCCTCAGCAATCTACCATGCCACAGTTACTACTAGTAGTCGGTTCGGTAGCCACACCACACGCACTCACAGGAATTGCAGCTCACGGAGAGTGCCAATGGCGGTGGGTATGCTGCCTTTGATACCCTTGTTGTACACGCCCCTGCATGTGGGGCACGTGGGGTGGGGCACATGGAGCATGCGGGGCACGCGTGGAGCACGTGGGGCATGCGGGGCATGCAAACGAGCAGGCAGGCACGAGGTGAGGTCCATGAGGCGAAACGGTGCATTAGGGCCAATGTGAATAATGTACAGAACATGATTTTTTTAGCTGACTCAAACATTTCTCAGTCGACTCAAAAATCGACTCATTACACGAAGTTTTTTTACTGAAAAGTTGTCTGTTGCTTGGCAGGTTGGAAAGAGTGTACACAGAGAGAACGCTCGTTCTAGCCAGACTTCCGAGCAAACGCAATCGGCCAGTTAAACTTTCCAGCCAAGGGTAGTTGGAAGCTTTGCTTCGGCTATTTTCCAGTACTGTCCTCTTAGTTTGTTGTTAGGATCGTGGGATCACGGCACCGATGAAGTGTCAGAACTTGAGCTTAGAATCGATACTATAGTAGTGAGCTCAAAGCTCTTTAAGTACATCCGGAATGAGCAAGGTAGGGATGAGGAGGGAATCAGGATGCAATCCTAGGGAATCAAGGGTAATCCCAAGGCAGTTTCCAATTGGTGGGTTGGAGATTGCTTGGAGATTACATTTGGGTTTGGTTGGGATGTGGGTGTACACCCAACCAAACACAAAGTGCAAACTACACTAAACTAGGATATAAAAGTACAAGTACAAAATGTGAGATTGGGGCCTAACACCAACACCCCCCCTGAGGCGTCAATCGAACTCATGGCGTAGAAGGAGGAGCGCAGAGCCCCATGGCGCCAAGGAGACGATGGTGGGGAACCTTCCCAAGGGGCTTGGTGAACAGGTCCGCCAGGTTGCAGTCAGATGCCACGTATTCCACCTTCAGCTGCTCTTGTTGCACAAGGTGACGAATGAAGAAGTGCCGAAGTTCAATATGCTTGGTGCGGGTGTGATACACAGGGTCTTGAGAGATGTGGATGGTACTCTGGTTGTCACACCAGAGGGTGGGGGCTGACTGAGGGAAGCCAAGCTCCTGGAGTAGGAAGGTGAGCCAACGGGCCTCCTGAGCAGCCATGGTGCCTGCGTAGAGCTCCGCCTCACAGGAGGAGAGGGAGACTGCAGACGACCTGGTGGAGCGCCAACTGAGAGTTCCGCTCCCGAGGGTGAAGCAGTACCCCTGAGAGGAGCGTCGGTCGGTCTGGTCATCAGCCCAGGAGGAGTCTGTGTAACCTTCCAGGCGAGGAGGGGAGAGCCCACCGAGTGTGAGAACGTGGGACTTTGTGCCCTTAAGATAGCGCAGCACCCGCTTTGCTGCCTTCCAATGAAGATTAGTGAAGCGACCCGGGGCCACGTAACGAGAGAGAACACTGACTGGGTAGGCCAAGTCTGGTCGGGTGCACATCATGGCGTACATGAGGGACCCAACAAGTTCCGGGTATGGCTCAGAGCAGGCCTCTGGTGTGGGTACAGCAGGAGCTGTAAGGAGGTGTTGCAGCGGCAGCGGGGTGGAAACAGGTGTGCACAGCTCCATCTCAAACCGCTTGAGCACATTGTCGATGTAGAACTCCTGGGAGAGTGAGATGGTGCGAGCCTTGCGATCACGAGTGATCTCCATTCCCAGGTCGTGCTTGAGGTCATCGAGGTCTTTCATCTGGAGGGCCTTGCTCAGGGCTGCCTGGACTGAGGTCATTTGGGCCGAGTCCTTGGCAACGAGGATAAAATCATCCACGTAGACTAGGATGTAGAATGGCTCAGAATGACGACGGATGAAGAGAGTCGGGTCAGCAGTTGAGGGGTGGAAGTCCAGGGAGAGGAGGACTTCTTTCACCTTGTTGTGCCATTCGCGAAGGGCTTGTTTAAGGCCGTAGACGGGGCGATTCAGCTTCCAAACAGTGTTGGGAGGGAATTCTCCTGGGAAGCCTTCTGGTCTGTCCATGAACACTGTCTCCTTGAGACGTCCTTGTAGGAAGGCGGAGGAGGCATCCATGGATTTGATCTCAAAGTCTTCTCGAGCTGCAACATCCATGAGCGTTCGAATGGTGGGAGGTTTGGATGTGGGGGAGAAGATTAGGTCAAAGTCGCGGTACCGCTGCTGGGTGAAGCCCTTGGCTACGTAACGCGCTTTGAACACCGGTGCCTCGTCTGGGAGCTGTTTTACACGTAACAACCACTTGCCCCCGACGATGTTGACTCCTGGAGGTGGAGTCTCGTCGTCGAAGGAGTGGTTGCGGGTGAATGCTGCAATCTCCGCGTCCATGGCAGCACGCCATTCGGCAGCATGAGGGCCTGAGAGAGCCTCTTGGACGGTGAGAGGGATAAGGATGGTCGGGTTCTCCACGAGGTTGAGGGAGGGTGAGCCAGTGATATCGGGGAAGATGTGTGAGAGCTGAGGAATGACTGCATGGAGATCACACAGCTCCTCATGCCTGTCTTCTAGAAGGGTAGAGGGCACATCCCCCCTAGCAGGAGGAGGCGGTGTGATCGTTGTGTATCGAAGAACCATTGCGAGTGGAAGAGCAGCGCGATGGGAGCGGGTGCCATGAGCCACCGGTGAGGAGGGTGGGGCAGGCGGTGTCGGAGAGGGTGACTTAGGAGGCTTGGGTGGGGGAATGGGCCGCCGGCGGTACGTGATCAGCTCGGGCGACTGTGGGAGAGCGGGTTCCTCTGTGGTGGGGGGAACTGGGGGAGGAGGTGGGGCCGGAGGGTGGGACCGCCGATGGTAGGTGATAGGTGCACTCGGAGGGGGCGGTGCAGCGGGAAGTGAGGAAGGTGAGGGGGGGGGCGGAGCAGCTGCCGAAGACGCCGGTGAGGCCGGGTCAGAGACCTCAGAGGGAGATGGTGGGATAGCAGGAGAGGGAGGAGGTGAGGGGGCAGGAGCAGGCGGGAGGTCGGGAGGCGCGTCAAAGTCTGCCCACACGAGGGAGGGTGGATCAGGGAGAGGGTCCCGTCCTGAAGGGGAGTAGAATGGGCGGGTCTCATCAAAGACAATGTCGCGGCTCCTGACCAACTGTTGAGTGGAGGGATTGAGGAAGAGGTAGTCAGGTGAGTCGGCGTTGTGCCCAAGGTAGATGCACGTTTGAGTCTTGGGACCGAGCTTGCCACCGTTCTGGCGTCGAGCCTGAGGGTTGAGGAGGACATAGGCGGTGCATCCCCAAACGCGAAGAGAGCGAGCAGTGGGCGTTTTCCCGAGCCAGAGTGTGGTTGGAGTGGTGTCGGGAAGGTGCGGATGGGGGTAAAGGTTGTAGAGGAGGGCGGCGTGGTAGAGAGCGTATCCCCAGAGAGAGTGTGGAGCGTTGGAGTGGCTGAGGAGGCACCGAGTGATCTGCACTAGGGTGTGGTTGCGGCTCTCAGCTATGCCGTTCTGTTGAGGGCTGTCAGGGAGGGTGAAGTTTTGCTGGATGCCTTCGGAGGAGCAGAAGGCTTTGAGCTTGTCGTTGCAAAATTCACCCCCCCCCATCCGAGTGAAAGCGCTTGACCTTGCGGTCAAAGGTGGTCTGTGCCTGCTTGACCCACGCCATGATGACCTCTGGAGCCTCAGCCTTAGTGTGGAGGAGGTGAACAGAGACGTATCGTGAGTGGTCATCCACGATAACTAGGAAGTAGCGATATCCACCTCGTGCAAGAACAGGGGCAGGGCCCCAGACGTCCATGTGCACTAGGTCTAGTGGTGCCGCTGCGATTGTGGGTGAGGCAGTGTGGGGCTGTTGGCGCAGTTTGCTCTTGGTGCAATCAAGGCACGTGGGAGCGGGTGAGTCAGGTGGTGGAGGAAGTGTGGCTGGCAGGCCGAGAAGAAGTTTCTTGGAGGCCATGTCAGCAAGCTTGCGGAAGTTTGGGTGCCCTAACCGATGATGATAGAGGATGGTCGGGTTGGAGAGGCTGCGACATGTGCATGGTGTGATGGGAGCCTGTGCTTGGGTGGTTGAAACCTGTGGGAGAGGAACGCGTAGCGTGTAGAGGCCGCTGCTATTGAGGGTGAAGCGGGCCAAGGCCTTGTTGGTGAGTGGGTCAATGATGTCGCAGTGGTCCTCATTCTCCGAGAAGATGGTGCGTAGCCCTGCTTTCTGAATTTCTGTTTGAGCCACTAGATTGTGGCGTAGTGAAGGCACGCACATGCCAGTGACGGTGCCGGAAGGGAAGGCTGGGCATGGGACTGTGGAGGTGCCCTTGGCTAGGGTGGTGAAGCCGGAGTCTGCTCCCAAAAGAGGGATAGGTGCTGGATAGGGTTTGAAGGAGAGTGTCTCCTTGAGCACAGTGTGAGTGGCCCCGCTGTCGAGTGTGAACTCTATGTACTGTGGTGCTTGTGATGAGTCGATGTACTGGGAAGTGGCTTCATTGATCATGGCAGTGCCAGGAAACAACAGGTTGATACGCACATCAACAGGAGCACTATCACTAGCACTAGCCGAAGAGGGGTCCTGGACTTCAACGATATTGGCCTTACGAGCGCGCATCCAGTTTGGCGGCTTCTTGTCAACCCCGTGGATGGCATACCACTCGTCGTCTTTCTTCTTGAAGCACGTGGCAAGGGGGTGGTTAGTGCCACCACACACTTGTCCCTTGCGGTTGCCATACTTGACGACGTAGGTGCACGGAGGAAAGCGGTTGCGCTGGAAAGGCGCCGAGGCAAGGGCCGCTGCAACACTTGCTGGGGGCATGGGAGCACGGATGACGTATGCCTTGGCCTGAGCCGTGAAGTCTTTCTCGGCAGAGAGGAGTGCGGTGGAGACCTTAGCAAAGGTGAGGTCTTCCGCTGAGAGCGTGAGGAGCATCTTCCTCGTGACTTCATATGCCAAGGAGAGACCAACAAGAAGGGCGGCTGCAGGGGCTTGTTCGGGGAAGACTATACCCAGCTCCTTGAGTTCACCATGAATGGTCTGCACCTTGGCGATGTAGTCAGCCATTCCTGAGCAGTCCTCAAGACGGACTTGAAACATGCTGGGGATGAGAATCGCCACTCCGACCGCCGTCTTGTTCATGAACCGATCCTGGAGATACTTCCAGATGGCGTTGGAGGTAGGGTAGTTGTGGAACGTGTTGACAAGTTCGGGAGGGGTGGAGGCAATGAAGACGCTGATGATGGCAGCATCGGCCTTCTCCCACTTCCGGTACTTCTCAACAGCTTCTTCGTACGCCATCACGTCAGCATCACTTGAAGATTCGATCGGTTCACAAGGAAGAGTGGGCTGTTTCCCCTTGCCACGGTTGAGGAGGACGTCCTTGAGGTCAAGGCCCTGCACGTCACGGCTCAGGAGGTGCTTGTCAACTCCGTAGCTCCACGCCTTGAAGTTGGAGCTAGAGCCATCGGCTTCAAGGCGAAGCGGGGTGATGGGGTTCGCCATGGTGGAAGACGAGAAAGCCATGGTGGAGACCCCTGAACTTCTCGCGCGGAGCGCCGCTCTTAAGTCACCGATAGGAACTTGAGGTTTGGGGTTTCCAAAGGAGATTTTGAAGAACCGGAGGTTTAGGGTTTACGAAAGAGAGTATTGAGGTTTAGGGTTTCTGAAGGAGAATTTGACTGAGACGCCAGTTTAGTGTCAACTACCTACTAATCCTATTCCCACACACCCCCCCACACACCACCCTCAGCTTCGCGGCTACGCTGCTGCTCGGCTTCGCGGCTACACGGCTGCTCGGCTTCGCGGCTACGCTGCTGCTCGGCTGCGTTGCTGCACCTGTTCAGCTGCGGGAAAGAGGGGGGATGGGGGTAGGAGTGCAGATGCGGGGCGACGGGCGGCAGCCCGACGAGAAGCTGCAGGGCGACGGGCGGCAGCCCGAAGAGAAGCTGCAGGGCGACGAGCGGCGGCCCGACGAGAAGCTGCAGGGCGACGGGCGGCGGCCCGACGAGGAGAGGAAGTGACGAGAGTGACGAATTGATGAAAACGAGTGTTAGGTTAGAGCGCCGACGATGCGCTTACCAGAGAAGTTTCCGTCGATGGTGACGGGAAGACGTGGCGGGAGAAATTCCGCCGATGAATGTCGCGAATCAACGGCGACGAGATTGGCGATGGCTTCCCCGAGGTTTGCGGGACAAGTATCCGCAGAGATGAGAGGATCACGATCCGCGTATGCGGTTGAGCTGCTCTGATACCATGTCAGAACTTGAGCTTAGAATCGATACTATAGTAGTGAGCTCAAAGCTCTTTAAGTACATCCGGAATGAGCAAGGTAGGGATGAGGAGGGAATCAGGATGCAATCCTAGGGAATCAAGGGTAATCCCAAGGCAGTTTCCAATTGGTGGGTTGGAGATTGCTTGGAGATTACATTTGGGTTTGGTTGGGATGTGGGTGTACACCCAACCAAACACAAAGTGCAAACTACACTAAACTAGGATATAAAAGTACAAGTACAAAATGTGAGATTGGGGCCTAACACCAACATGAAGGTCCGGCCGATTATTCCCATGTAAAAGCCGAAACATGTTTGTTGATTCCTGTTTTAAACAGAAGACCATGTTCTGTTCTTCGCAAGCCTTTTCTTTAGTTGGGAGGACTATAACCCTACTGCTGAAGGGTTCCTTCCAACTTGTTTCTCTTCCTCATGAGTGGGGGACCCTTGGGACCTCACACATTCCGGTAATACGAAGCAAGCGAAATAGGTAGCAAACGAGGACCAAGCAAACGAATGCACAAACAGTACAAGCAGCCGACAGAACTGTCTATGGTGCCTTAGTAGTCAACTCAGCTCATGAGGGGGTCCATCCGTGATACTACTCACATCACATAGCAAAGATTCCGCAAAGGCTATTGCAGGCAACGCCCTTCATGTTGGCACAGTCGTGTTTTGAGTCAACCCAAAACAGGGAGTCAGTCACTGAGTCGAGTCAGTTCAACAGGGGGTCACAGGAATGGGAATCCACTCACAAAGCAAAGATCTCGCCAAAGGAACTGCAGGCAACGCCCTTCATGGCACCGAAGTCACAGTCAGTGCTAGACGTCCATGTCTCACTGCCGTTGAACGCGCCCCACTCTCGCTTCAACGCCTGCAGGACCGAAACTGGAGGTGGACAGGGGGTAGGGGTGGGGGGAGGGGGGGTGCGGGGAGGGAGAAGGGAGGGGGGAGAGGGGAAGAGAGGGGGAGAGGGGAGAGGGTGGAATGGAGAGAAAAAAAAAAAAAAAAAAAACGATTCTTACAGGGACGCAGCGCAGGAAGGTACAGGTCCGGGCTGGAAGCACGTGTCCCACGACACGTGCATCTTTCCTTTCCTACAAAATAGAATAGTCCTGGAACCACGTGTCCCACTCATTTTGAAAAATGGAAGCAGTGAAGCACATCTCCCAAAGGGCCGTGCTTAGGATGGATGGAGGAGCGAGGGGAGGTGGCATTGGGGGTCAAAGCTTCTTACATTCAGAGGCTAAGACCTTGGCCGCATGGGTGCCTGGCAGGACGGGAAGAGGCGAGACCACCGCGAGGGCGACGATGGCGACGGCGATGGTCATGGCGACAGCCGTGCGGGTGACGCGACTCGCCATAGGGTTGACGCGACTCGCCATGGGGGTTAGTATGCGGGTACCGCTGCTGCTACTCGTGGCGCTAGAGGAACTTCTGCTGGTGCAGCCGCCGCTTCTGTCGCTGTCGCTGTCGCTGTCACTGCTGCTGCTGCTGCTGCTGCTGCTGCTGCTGCTGCTGCTGCTGCTGCTGCTGCTGCTGCTGCTGCTGCTGCTGCTGCTGCTGCTGCTGCTGCTGCTGCTGCTGCTGCTGCTGCTGCTGCTGCTGCTGCTGCTGCTGCTGCTGCTGCTGCTGCTGCTGCTGCTGTTACTGCCAGTTATGTGAAAGGACATGCTGTGGTTGATCTGTGTGGAGAAATTGCTTTGCTAAGCCACAAAAGTCAACTCATTCTGTGTGGGGAAACAGAAACACCATAACTTTCGGAGCCTGCGGCTTCTCCTGCTGATGATGCTGCCACTGCTGCTGAGGATACAGGCCTTCTCGCGGCGGTAGCAAGACCCCCGAAACAAGTAAAAGGCGACGAGGACGTGGGAGGAAATCAGGACGAGGGACCGGCGACGAGGCAAGAAAAGGAGACTGTCCGGGCGTGAGATTTCGGGAAAAAAAAAAAAAAAAAAAAAAAAAAAAAAAAAAAAAACGACTCGTGTCTTGCTTTTCAGCGCCGCTTCAACAGTCGTCGGATTGGATCAAATAATATATGTCGCACGAAAGTCTTGCGCTCGGAGAGAATTGGAAAACTCCTTTGAAGAAACTAGAGATCGTTCGGGGTTATCCGCGCAGACGCTCTTCACAGAGGAGCTCGGCGGGCCTACTATAGCTTAGTAAGCTGTGGCACCGCTTCGCGGCTGGCGCCGCCGGCGCCAACGGAACGGCGGACGAAAAAGTGTGACCTTGAGACAGCTGCCGACCTAAACTTGAGAATTCCCTACTGTGAACTCCTAAGCGACGCTGAGGGACGCTGCGACGCGGCTAATTGGCTCGCGACGCCTGCGACGCGGCTAATTGGCTCGCGACCTGCTACGCGGCTGATTGGCTTGCGACGCTGAGAGAGCGACGACACGCTGCACGACCGCCTCCACTTCTACGGACGGACAAACGCCTCTCCCCAGATTTTGACGAATGCGGTCAATTTAAGGTGCTCGCACCGCAAGTACAGAACAAAAGTCCTACTTTGTCACTCCGCATCAGAAACGGTGAAACTTACAAGCTTCACCACCACCTCAGCCTAAAGTCCGTACACAGACGGACTGTCAGTGAGAAACGGTGACACTTTGTTCCAGCACTAGACCTAGATTGGGGGTGCATCCTGGGGCCTGACCTGGACAAGTGTCGGACTTGGGGTCGTCTTTTCAGAGCTGCTTGCGACCAATGACGAGAGGAAAACCCGTTCAGAAGCACTTCTCTTCCCGAGTGGCCAAAATGACGGTAGTCGGTGGAAGGAAAAGGTGTGTACTGTACACGTAGTGCTTGATTGAGAAGAGTGTCGTGTCGATCTGGGGCCGGCGCAAGTGTACAGTGATCCACAGTCAGCTCGCTGAGGGCCGGAAAGGGGCAGGAAATAGGGGCTGCTGAAAGTGCGAAAATGTGATTGTACGGTCTATTAGATTTCCTACCACAACCGCCTCCTACAGTTACTTGATTTTACAAATACCTTGCTAAACCTTGAACTCCACTTGATTAAGGCAATGCTATCATGTACATAAATTACCAAGTGCTTTTATTTATGAACCTACTTTGGTCACGATTCGAGGCTAATTCTGGACACCATCAACCTGAAATAACCCTCAATGACGTGTTAAAACATCCGCTCATTGGTCATCACACAGAGTTCCAAATTTCTTAGAGCATCGAAACCAATGAGACTATATTGCTACCGAAGTGTCTACACTTCAGATGGTGTCCAAACCTCAGAACCTTGATATTACATTCGCAAAACAAAGATGATAATATGAACACGGGCAAAAAAAAAAAAAAAAAAATCCACGTTTAATTGCATAGTAGGTTGTCAGTCTTAGTTCGTCCATTCGAAATTGTTATGTGGAGACGGCTACAGTGATTGAAATTGCACAGTGCAAAGCAAATTCTATCTTGGAAAGGACCTGTGGAATATATGAGGTATGTGCCTATACGGCAGGTGAGGGTGTTAAAGGTTTAAGGGGGCTCGATGTAAGAAGTGGGCGGGGCATTTACACATCCATGCGTCTGCAATCTGGTGCATCTGAAATGCTTCCTCATATGAGCATATTGAAAACTAGATGTTAAGCAAAATTATCGACACAATCGATGGTTGAAAATATAAATAAAACTCGGAATATCATAATTCCGGTTGAGTGTACAATTAGACAAGTGGTTAGTCGGTAGAGTAGACAGTAGAGTGGGATTGGGTGGGTGGGCGAGGCACTATGAGGAACGTGATGGTGAGGAGGGGAAGGGAGGGCAGGCGACCAAGAGCACTTGGCACTCCAATGAGTCAAGGTCCACCGTGAGGGCGACGATGGCGACGGCGATGGTCATGGCGACAGCCAAGGGTATGACGTGACTCGCCATGAGAGTGACGCGACTCGCCATGGGGGTTAGCACGCGGATACCGCTACTGCTACTCGTGGCGCTAGGGAAAATGTTGGAGGTCGCCTGCGTTGAAGGGAAACGGTGGTGGGGGAGTAGTACGCCCCCAACCCACCGAAGGCAAGCCTAACCCAAGCCAAGGCCAAGTCGCCGTCACTGCCCATCTGCAGCTTAAGATTCAGGCGGTCCCTTGTATTGGCGGGGGAGCTGTGGCACGCAACAATACATATTGCTCATGGTCGAGCACGTAGGTAAGTGGTTGGAAGTGTTAGAATCACTAGCTAGGTGAGGTAATGTCGATTAGGTAAGGGAGGGGGATACAAGACTAAACCTAACAGTGGTCACAAGACCAGTCAAGTAAGAGAACAAGCAAGGCAAAGCCCAGGGTGGATCTCAAGAACACCACACAATCTTAGCACAAGCAGGTGTCAGAATGTTATTCTCTAGCCTGTAGTGGGGTGCTCTATAGCGAGTACAACCCATCTAGGGTTTGCTATATGTATCCTCATTGCTGCTAGTGGAAGCCCTCTCTTCTTCTTTCCTCATTTCTTCACGTGGTATCAGAGCATCTACCGTCCTAGCCTGTGGGCCCACCTAGCTGCTTCCGCAGCTACTCTGTGTTCGGCACGCCCCGTGGCGTGCCCCTCGCCCTACTCTTAGCGGCCCCGTTGCCACCCTTCCAGGCCCCTCGCGGCCACTTCGCGGCCCCGTCGCCGCTCCTTTCGCGGCCCGTCGCCGCCCTTCCAGGCCCCTCGCGGCCCTTTCGCGGCCCCGTTGCCGCCCTTCCAAGCCCCTTGCGGCCCCTTCGCGGCCCCGTCGCCGCCCCTATCGGCCCTGTCGACGCCGCCAGCGGCCCCGTCGCCGACCCTAGCGGCCCCGTCGCCGCTCCTATCGGCCCCGTCGCCGCCGCCAGCGGCCCTGTCTACGCCGCCAGCGGCCCCGTCGCCGACCCTAGCGGCCCCGTCGCCCCTCCTATCGGCCCCGTCGCCGCCGCCAGCGGCCCCGTCGCCGACCCTTGCGGCCGCGTCGCCGCTCCTATCGGCCCCTGTCGCCGCCGCCAGCGGCCCCGTTGCCGCCTCCAGCGGCCCCGTCGCCGCCACTTGCGGCCCCGACCCCGCCCCGGCCATGCCCCGTCGCCAGCCGCGGTGCACCGGGGGCACGTGCACCGCCCCGCCCCCCCCCCCCCCCCCCCCCCTTTTCCTGTCGCACGTTGCAGCTCCTTCGGGGGCCGACCTGGGGAAGGGGGGCGAGCATCGCCCCTTCTGCCGCCTGTTTTGGCGCCCAGGGAGACCGCGCGTCGCCCCCTCCCCCCCCCCCCCCCCCCCCCACAACCTCCCTACCCACCATCCCGCCCTGCCCTGTGTTAGGGTCTGGAGGTGGCAAGTAGGGGGTAACGGGTGTGTGGTCTCCCCTGCTCCTCCTCCTCCTTCGTCTCCCACTACTACAACTGTCGCTGAGGGGAGTGGATGTGTGGGAGCCTCGGGTTTAGGGTTTAAGGGGGGTTCTGTGGGAGTGGAGCTAGGGTTTTGAGGGAGGTGGATGTGTGTGAGCCTGCGGTTTAGGGTGTAAGGGGGGTGCTATGGGAGTGGAGCTAGGGTTTGAGCAGGGGGTTGTGTCGAGAGGTGTGGGGCAGCTGGAGGAGGTTGGTTGAACGGAGGTTGGTTGAACGGAGGTTGTCGTCGTGTCGTCATCAGCACCAGTAGTCCGAGGTGTTGCTCCGGTAGCCCAGTCGTAGCCAGCTGTGCCAGTCGCTCGTGGGTCCGTTGCTCGTCTGCCGCTAGTTTTAGCCGCGGAGCCAGTTACTCCAGTAGTCCAAAGCGTTGTTCCAGTAGCCGCTGTGCCAGTGTGACCCCTGTTGCCCGTGTGTCTACAGCTTCAGTGAAGATTAGAACGAGAGAATGATTGAACCATGAAAGAGTTGGGTAAAAGTGCTAACCCTAATTAAGTTGTACCCCACTACAGCCTACACAAATGTATAAGCTATAATGTTCTGACACACCCCCATAGGCAAAGTGGGGGAGAACAAGTGGTCACAAGACCAGTCAAGCAAAGCAAAGCAAGTTCAGGGTGGATCACAAAGTCACCACACAGTCCGAGCACAAGAGTAAGGCCATAACGCCAGTTCACATGCAAGATCATATATATAAAGGTAAACAAGCAGGTGCAAGCATAGAAAGAGTACAGTACAAACAAGATAAAGAAGTGAGCAAGTGAGGCCAGGTAGACACAAGACCTAGCAAAGTACAGAAGCGCTGATGATCACAAGGCGGAAGGGCCTTGGTGAAGATATCAGAAGTGTTGGCCTCAGAGGCCACGTAGGTGAGGCGGAGCTGACCACGCTGCTGCAGCTCACGAGCCAGGAAGTAGCGGAGAGCAATGTGCTTCGTTCTGTGCTCCAGTCTGTGCTCCCGACACAAGGCCAGCATGGCCTTGTTGTCTACGTACAGAACTGGAGGAGAACGAGGCGGCTCTCCTAGGTCAGTCAGCAGGTAGGTGAGCCAGCGTAGCTCCAGTGCAGCCATGGCCCCTGCGTAGATCTCAGCCTCACAGCTGGAGCTGAGAACAAAAGACGAGCGGGTAGACCGCCACAAAACAGAGCCGGAGCCAAGGCTGAAGGTGTAACCCTATGACGACCGCTGCAAAGCCTGGTCGTCAGCCCAAGAAGCGTCTGCGTGACCTGTGAGGACCACTCGACGTCGCCCTCCAAGCACTAGCCCCATGCCTGACGTACTGCACAAGTAGCGCAACACCCTCTTCGCTGCAGCCATGTGCTCTGGTCGGTGTCCCCCAGGAGCAACATAGCATGCAAGATGCTAAGAGGGTATGCAAGGTCAGGTCGTGTGCAGGTCAACAGGTACATGAGGCAGCCAACAAGATCTGGGTGCGGGCCACTCGGCTCTACGGACTCATCCGAAGGCAGAGCTGAGAGCGAGTGGCGAGTAGACAGAGGAGTGGCCTGAGGCGAGGAGTACGTGAAGGCGAAGCGCTGAAGGACCTGCTGCACCATGTGTGACTGAGTCAGGGTAATGGTGCGCTGTGCTCTGTCTTGGGTGATCTGCAAGCCAAGGTAGCTGCGCAGTTCACCCAGGTCTGTGCACGTGTGTCACTTCTGCAGCTTGGACTTCACGTGGGCGAGTCCAGCAGTGTCAGCAGTGGCGAAGACCAAGTCATTGACGTACACGAGGATGTAGAACGGCGGCAAATAGGTGTCGGTGCGCAGAAACAGCGACGGGTCGGCCCTAGAAGGAACAAACCCAAGAGCCGCAAGTGTAGTCCTCAGTGTGTTGTGCCACTCACGGGGTGCCTGGCGGAGACCGTAGACTGGCCGCCGGAGGCTCCACTGGGTACCAGGGGGAAACGACCCAGTAAAACCAGGTGGGTGGCGCAGCAAGATCTCCTCGTGCAGGCTGCCCTTCAGGAAAGCTGTGCTGAAGTCAAAAGAGTGAAGCTCGTAGTCGCGCTGAGCGGCTATGTGCAGCAGCACCCGAAGAGTGGTCATCTTCGGGGTGGGAGAGAAGGTCCAAAAGAAGTCAAATTCTTGCCGGTGACTGAAGCCTCGAGCCACGTAACGCGCCTTGAAGACAGGCGGAGAACCCGGCGACCGCTTCACCATGAAAATCCACATGCCACTGACGATGTTCGCCCCAGGTGGGGGAACCTCGTCAACGTAGGTGCGTGTAGACTTATAGGAAGCCATCTCTGCGTCCATGGCTGACTGCCACTAAGAGGAGTAGGGACGCTCGATCGCCTCAGCGTACGATCGAGGAGTCGGGATGTCAGGTGCATCCAGGTCTCCCTCAGGCGCAATCAGCGTGGACACGAGATGGGGCAAAGCAGCCGCAAAGCACTGGAACTCCTCCTGCCTGTCCTCAAGGACGTCCGTGCTAAGAGCACACTCACCTCCGACGGACAGAGGACAGATAGACTCAGACTCAGCAACGAGACTGGCAGCGTAGTCTAGACGAGAACGAGCACCGAAGTCGACAAGCTCAACAACTAGGGCAGACACAATAGTGGACTCAAAGGAAGGGTCAGTGACAACAGTAGCAAGAAGGCGCGTGACCGAAGGACTAGCAGCACGAAGGGAGTCAGACTCTGGGTCAGCAAGAGTAGGAAGAGAGAACTCTGGAGGAGACGGCAACGGGACACGCAGAGGAGCACTGGAAGGACGCAGCGCCATCTGGTGTGTGCCGGGGACCGCAGGAGGACGCGGACGCGTAGCACGGTGACTACTGCGAGCAGCACGAACAGGCGACGTAGGAAGAGACGCAGGCTCATGACGCTCAGCAAGACCTCCAGTAGGACCAGTGTAGGGAGAAGGAGAAGGTACAGGGGAGGCGGGCTGTAACTGTGACCGCAACTGGACAGGCTGTGGACACTCTAAGGAAGGAGCAGGACCAGGAGAGGGAGGGAGACCAAAAACCTGCTCTAGGAGCGGAACGAAGTACGGCCTCGGCCGCACACCGCCTCTAAAACCAGCAAGGACGGCACCAGTACCCCCAGCGGCAGTACCAGCGCTAGCAGCACCTCCAGCTCCACCACCGCCAACTCCAGTACCCTCAGAAGCACTTGCGCCAGCAGCACCGCTAGCGCCAGCACCCCAAGCAGCTCCAGCTCCAGCAGCACCAACTCCAGTAGGACCGTCAGCTCCAGCAGCCTCAGCAGCACCCCTAGACGCACCACCGCCAGTAGAAACACCAGCGCCAACACCCCCAGCAGCTCCAGCTCCAGCAGCACTAGTACCGCCAGCAGCTCCTGCAGGACCAACTCCAGTAGCCCCAACAACTCCCCAAGTCTCAGCAGCACGTCTCCAGCGGCGGGCAAACCACTCGCGTAGCTCATGTGGAGAGAGTGGCTCCCGTCTCGACGAAGCACCGCCGGCGGCCACACAAGTAGACCTATCGCCCCCAGGCTCGGCACCCCCAGGCTCCGCACCTCCAAGCTCAGCACCCCCAGACCCAGCACCCCCAGGCTTAGCACCCGCAGTCTCCGCACCCGCAATCTCAGCACCCCCAGACCCGGCACCCACAGGCTCAGCACCTCTTGCAGCACCAGAGTTAACAGCTACCTCGACAGGCTCGACTGCGTCTACCTGGGACACACCTGACGGGGCAGGACCCTGAGGGTGGAGGGGGTATACCGGGGGAAGACCTGGTGCAAGGAAGAGCGGCGGCGGGGGGAGAGGCGTAGTGCGGTAGGGGAAGAGACGGTAGTAAGGCAACGACTCCTCAAAGGTGACGTCCTAGGAGGACAGAATACGGCGCAAGGTGGGGCGGTAAAACTGCCACTCAGGCGCGTCAGGGGAGAAGCCAAGGAAGACGCAGGGAACAGCACGGGGGGACAGCTTGTCCGCAGACAAGTCGCGGACAAACGCCCGAGATCCCCAGACCCGAAACGCAAACACATCGCCAACCTTCCCCGTCCACCGCAAGGTGGGGGAGGTCTCTGGCAAGGAGACCTGGGGCTGAAGGTTGAGCTGATGCGCGTCATACTGAACCGCAAACTACCACAGAAAATGGGGGGCAGCCACATGCATCATGGATGTACGAGCGACATCCATGACCATGCCTATGCGGTGCTCAGCAATCCCATTTTTCTGTGGAAGCGTGAAGGTCTTGCGGATGCCCTGTGCACGACAGAAGGCTGCGAGACGGGCAGAGGAAAACTCCCCGCCTCTGTTAGAGTGTAGATGCAGAACAGGAAAGTCCGAGCCGAAAATCTCTCTGAGCTGGAGACGAGCTGCGCGGATCCAGTCGATCAACACCTCAGTGACGTCACCCTTGCTGCGCAAGGGGAAGATTGCGGTGTAACGCGAGTATTCGTCAACCACCAGCAGGAAGTACCGCTCGCGCCCCTGCCCACTTACGCGGGCTGGGCCCCAAACGTCCATGTGGAGAGTCTGCAGCGGAGCCTCTGTCGGAGGAAACTCGGAGGAGTGAGGGGCGGCGCGCTGTCGCCCCTCGACGCAGGGGACGCAGGTAGGGCCAGGCCCCGGAGGTAGGGGAGGGAGAGACCGAGGGAGACCAGAGACAAGGACACGGGAGGCCATGCCTCGGGGACGAAGAAGGGAGGGATGACCAAGGTGGTGGTGGCAAAGGAGAGTCTGGTGGGACAGCAGACGACACGAGCAGGGAGCAGACTCAGGACCAGACCTGGATGCTGCAGCAAAATCCTGAATCGACGCACCTACCTGGGAAGACTCAGTAGCCGGAGGAGACTCAGTAGTAAGGGTGTACAGGCTCGACCCCGGCCGACGGGTGAACGTGGCCAAGTGTCGGCCTTTCCGAGCACACGTGCAGTGAGTCACTCGCTGACTCGCAGGAGTGAATTGGTCAACCCCCCTATCCTGGAGGTCCACTCCACTCACCAAGTTTGTAGAGAACGAGGGGAGGTAGAGACCTGACAGGGTGCTAGAGGGGGCTGACGGGCACGATAAGACAGTGGAGAAGCTAGCAAGGATAGGACCCCCAGAGGGGTTTGCCAGGGAGACTGCAACCGGCCGACTGAGCGGCGTAAGAGTGGTGCGGCCATAGAATACATGGCAACAAGGATAGCATCATAGTCAAGATCAAAGACGGCAACCCCCGCCCTAGACAGATCTCCCCAGCGAGGGATCTCTGATGCCTCAGGGAACTGGCGATGCCACGCGTCCGTGAGGCAACCGAAGCAGCGCCGGGTGGAGTGCGGGCCTCCGCACTGCTCACCAGCTTGATCGTCGGTACGGAGGACGTAAGTGCAGGGACCAAAACCCCCACCGCGCTGGCGCACAGTGTACCACTCACGAAGCTGCTGAGGGGACAGGGTCACACCACTCCGCTGCTGCTGGCGCGGACCACCACCTGAGCCACTCCTTTGCGTAGAGTTGCGACCCGCTCCGCCACCGCCGCCGCCGCCGCCTCGGCCGCCTCCTCCACCTCCGCCTCCTCCACCACCTCCGCCTCCTCCGCCACCTCCGCCGCCTCCGCTCCCTCCGCCACCACCACCGCCTCCGCCGCCTCCACTGCTGCCGCCGCCGCCGCCACCCCCAGCACCACTCCCACCACCACCCCCACTCCCTCCACTGCCTCCACCACCACCTCCACCGCCCCCTCTAGCCCCTCCAGCGCCCTTGCCCCCCTTGCCCTTGCCGGTGCGGCGTCTCCCGCTCGGGGCAGACGCAGCGCCGATCGACTCGAAGCCAACGAGGTCGGCTGCAGCAGCAGAGGCAACAGAGGGCAAGAGGGGGGAGGGAGAACACCCCTCAAAGACGGGGGTGCGAGGGTCACTACGAGAGGCTCCTATAGCGACTATGCTCTTCTCTGCCGCTAGGAGGGCCTTCTCGAGGAGGTCAACAGTGAGAGTGGTGGGGCAATCTAAGAGGAAGTGGTCTCTGACTACGCGGAGAGAGTCAGGGAGCTGGGTGACTATGTAATAGAGGGTGATGTACATGGGGGGGGGGGGGGGGGGTTCTTGGCGCAGAACTCAGCAGGAAGCGTAGCGCGGTAGCGAGTGTCACTAGTGCGGAGGTGCGTAATGAGGTCAGCGACTGTGGGAAAGGCAGCAAGGTCAGGGAACAGGTACGGTAGCATGAGGCGGCTCAGTGCAGCAGTGGCAGGGGAAGAGTAGCGTGCAACTACAGCGTCGTACAAGGTCTGAGCACTCTTGTACTGGCTAAAGTGTGCACGCTCAGTGGTCGGTAAGTGGCGGCGCAAAGCAAGGCGAGCAGCAGCATCACGTGTGGCCCACTGTGAGCGTACAGTGGCATCACCATCAGCAGTAGGGGCAGGAGAGGCACCAGAGGTGAGGTCAAACAGGGAGAGACCGTCTACCCTATCGCCCTGGAGGAATAGCTGCAGATCATCTACCCAGACCTCAAAGTCAACTCCCCGACCCTCAGCGTCAAAGGTGAGAACACTAGGGGAGGTCATGATAGCCGTAGACAGGCAGTGAGTATAGTGGGGCAGGGCAGTGCAGTGGCAGAGGCACTGCTCTTACGAGCCAAGTGGGGCGGTTCCAGGCAGGCCGACAGACGGCAGCACCTCGGGTGCGGTGCGGCTCGGCGACTCGGCTGCTCGGCTGCTGGGCGGCTCGGCGATCGGGCGGCTCGGCTGCTGGGCGGCTTTGTGGTTGGCGGCTCAGCTGCTCGGCGGCTCGGCTGTTCGACGGCTCGGCGGTCGGGCGGCTTGGCTGCTCGGCGGCTCGGTTGCTCGGCGGCTCGACTGTTCGGTGGCTGGGCTGCTCGGCGGCTCGGGCGCTGGGCGGCTGAGCGGTGACGGGGCCGTGGAAGGGCGGCGACGGGGCTGCTGAAAGGGCGGCGACAGGCCGCTCAAAGGGCGGTGACATGCCACTGATAGGGTGGTGACGGGCCGCTGAAAGGGCGGCAACTGGGCCGCGGAAGGGCGGCGACGGGGCCGCTGAAGGGCGGCGACGGGGCCGCTGAAGGGCGGCGACGGGGCCGCTGAAAGGGCGGGCGGCAATGGGGCCGCTGAAAGGGCGGTGACGAGGCCGCGGAAGGGCGGCGACGGGACCGCTGGAGGCCGGCGACGGGGCCGCAGAAGGGCGGCTACGGGGCCGCTGCAAGGGCGGGCGGCGAGGCCGTGGAAGGGCGGCGACGGGGCCGCGGAAGGGCGGCGACGGGGCCGCTGAAAGGGCGGCGACGGGGCCGCTGAAAGGGCGGCGACGGGGCTGCTGAAAGGGCGGTGACGGGCCGTTGAAAGGGCGGCAACGGGCCACTGAAAGGGTGGTGACGGGCCGCTGAAAGGGCGGCGTCTGGGCCGCGGAAGGGCGGCGACGGGGCCGCTGAAAGGGCGGGCGGCGACGTGGCCGCTGAAAGGGCGGCGACGGGGCCGCGGAAGGGCGGCGACGGGGTCGCTGGAGGGCGACATCGGGGCCGCAGAAGGGCGGCTACGGGGTCGCTGCAAGGGCGGGCGGCGAGGCCGTGGAAGGGCAGCGACGGGGCCGCGGAAGGGCGGCGACAGGGCCGCGGAAGGGCAGCGATGGGGCCGCTGAAAGGGCGGCGACGGGGCCGCTGAAAGGGCGACGACGGGGCCGCTTAAAGGGCGGCGCGACGAGGCCGCAAGGGCGGCGCGACGGGGCTGCAAGGGCGGCGCGACGGGGCCGCAAGGGCGGCGCGACAGGGCCGGAAGGGCGGCGCGACGGGGCCGGTAGGGGCCGTAAAAGAGGCCGCAAGGGGGAACGACACGGGGCGCGACTCAGGCAGGGGCCAAGCGTGCTCCGGGCAGGAAAAAAAAATCGGTGGGCCCTAGGAACAGTTCCCACGAGAGAACCAGCTCTATAGCATGTGAAGATTAGAACGAGAGAATGATTAAACTATGAAAGAGTTGGGTACAAGTGCCGACCCTAATTGGGTTGTACCCCTTATGGGCCACCCAGCCTACACAAATGTATAAGCTATAATGTTCTGACAGCTTCAGCCGTCACCTCCTATCTCCTCTCCTCTTACAGTCTCGCCTCCTCCTCCTCACTTGCCCTTTGTGAATGACTCTGGCTTTGTTCGCCATTGTGAACTCCTGCTCTATGCCTGCTTGCTCATTGTGCTGATTACACCCCACTTTGGCTATGGGGGTGTGTCAGAATGTTATTCTCTAGCCTGTGGTGGGGTGCTCTATAGCGAGTACAGCCCATGTAGGGTTTTCTATATGTATCCTCATTGCTGCTAGTGGAAGCCCTCTCTTCTTCTTTCCTCATTTCTTCACAGCAGGCGGCCACAAGGCCAGTTTACATGCAAATTTATAATAGCAAGGCATTACACAGATTACAACCTAGCAAGAGTAAACATGCAGGTATAAAGATATATAGCAGTGTACAACAAGAGCAAGTCAAGAAACCAGCAGGCGAGCCAGAGTGGGCACAAGCCCAAGAGCAGTGCAGAAACGATAATGATCACCAGCCCCAAGGGCCTTGGTGAAGACATCAGCAGTGTTGGTCCGAGAGGCCACGAAAGCAAGGCGCAGCTGACCATGCTGTGCAACTCACGCGCAAGAAAGTAGCGCAGAGCAATGTGCTTCGTTCTGTGCTCCAGTCTCTGCTCGCGACACAAGGCAAGAATTGCCTTGTTGTCGACATACAGAACTGGAGGAGAACAAGGCCGCTCCCTCAAGTCCGTCAGCAGGTAGGTCAGGCATCGAAGCTCCTGTGCAGCCATGGCCCCAGCGTAGATGTCGACCTCACAACTGGAACCAAGCACAGAAGAATGAGTGGACCTCCACGAGACAGAACCAGTGCCAAGACTGAAGGTGTAGCCCTGTGACGAACGCTGAGTCGCCTGGTCATCGGCCCAAGAAGCGTCAGAGTGTCCTGCGAGGACCACCTAACCCCGTCCTCCAAGCACAAGCCCCATGCCCGATGTGCTGCACAAGTAACGCAGTACCCTCTTTGCAGCATCAAAGTGCACCTTTCGGTGCCTACCGGGTGCCACGTAGTGAGCCAGAAGGCTAAGAGGGTACGCAAGGTCTTGTCGTGTGCACGTGATCAGGTATATGAGGCAGCCCACAAGCTCTGGGTACGGACAACTCGGCTCTATGGACTCGTCCGAAGGTGGAGCTAAGAGCGAGTCGCCGGTAGCCAGAGGAGTGGGCTGTGGCAAGGAGTACGTAAAGCGGAAGCACTGAAGGAGAGCAGGTAGGTCAGGGGCGGCTGCAGGGAGAGCAGGTGCGGAGAAGCCCGTCGCGTGCCACGGGGCGCACGACGGGAAAGTTTAAGTTTAGGGCACCGTCGTGTGCCTCGGGGCGCACGACGAGCAGGGCACCGTCGTGTGCCACGGGGCGCACGACGGGCAGGTTTAGGGCACCGTCGCGTGCCACGGGGCGCGCGACGGGCAGAGAAGGAGTCACTCGCCAACTGGGGGCGGGACAAGAGAAAATCGCCACGTGCCCTAGGCGCGCGACCGGAAAAAAGTAGCAGCGGAAGCATGAGGCGGGCCCACAGGCCAGGACGTTACACGCTCTGATACCATGAGAAAACTGAAACGAGAATGTATTAAGTTTAACTAGGGCCTAGGCTTAGGAGCCTAGGCCCAACTAGGATATCGAGTGAGTTGTGCCAAAGGTGAGAGTCGAGAAAGTTGGAAAGGATGGTTTCACTATAGGTTTCGAAGAACATAGAGCAAAGGAAACAAAGAAGGTGCACCACCAAACAAAGTTTATAATAACTACACTAACTGCAGCTACAGGCAGTTATAAATATAAGTTCTGACAAGCAGCGCCTGCTGTTGTCCACCCCTGGCCGCAGCAACTGCCGCGGAAGTGGCCATGACAGACAGTGACTGTCAGGAGTAGGTCCAGCACCTCCAGCTCCTACAGCGCCCAGCAGCACCTCCTGCACTCCCAGCAGCACCTCCTGCACTCCCAGCAGCACCTCCTCCACTCCCAGTAGTACTCCCTCCAGCAGCAGCAGTAGAAGGGCGGCTCAGGCAGCAGCAGCAACAGCAGTAGTAGACCGAGTAGCACTAGCTGTAGCAGTAGTAGTTGCAGCAGCAGCACAAGTGACAGCTCAGGTTGGGCGGCGCGGCTCGGATAGGGCGGCGCGGCTCGGGCTCAGTGGTGGAGCAGTAGTGGCAAGCAGCAGCAGCGGCTGGCGCTCAGGAGCAGCAGCAGCAAGGAGGAGCAGCTGCAGCAAGTAGCAGCAGCAGCAGCAAGGAGGAGTAGTTGCAGTAAGTAGTAGCAGCAAGGAGGAGCAGCTGCAGAAAGTAGCAGCAACAGCAGGGAGGAGCAGCTGCAGCAAGTAGCAGCAACAGCAGCAAGGAGGAGCAGCTGCAGCAAGTAGCAGCAGTAGCAGTGGCAGTAGTAGCAGCTGTAGTAAGAGCAGTAGTAGCAGCAGCAGCAGCAGCAGCAGCAGCAGTAGCACTAGCTGTAGCAGCAGTAGTTTGCAGTAGCAGTGCCCGTAGCAGCAGCTGTAGCAACGGTAGTAGTAGTAGCAGCAGCAGCAGTAGCACTAGCTGTAGCAGTAGTAGTTGCGGTAGTAGTGGCAGTAGTAGCAGCTGTAGCAAGGGCAGTAGTAGCAGCAGCAGCAGTAGTACTAGGTGAAGTAGCACTAGCAGTGACAGCTCGGGCTGGGCGGCGCGGCTCGGACACAGTGGCAGAGCAGCAGCGGCACGTAGCAGTAGCAGCCGGCGCAGAGCAGCAGTAGGCGCGTGCGGGCTATGAGCTAGCAACCTAGGGGCGCGCAACAGGTGCGCGCGGAGCAGCTCAAAAGGAGCACGCAGCAGGTGCGTGCTAGGGGCTGGCGGTCAGCGTGAGTGGCGCGCGTAGCAGCAGGAATGAGGGGGGACCGGGCGTAGGGGTTGACGACCCGCGCGAGAGGCGCATGGGGTAGCTAGGGCGCGGTCAGGGGAGTCGCACGTGACTAGGAAGAAAAATCGCGTCTAGGGCAGAAAAAGGAACCGTCTTGCCTAGGGCACGTTTTCGCATTTCGCGTTTCTCCTAGGGGCGCGACTCGGGCAGCAGATCGAAATAGTGGTGGTAGGAGCATTTAAAAATTCGGTCATAAGGAGCATTGTGCTCTTAATACTATGTTAGAATCACTAGCTAGGTGAGGAAATGTTGATTAGGTAAGGAAGGGGGATACAAGACTATCGAGAGTGAAATGTTGTACCCTCCAAGGAAAGAACCCTACACAACCTAGAGTGAAATGAACATAACACTATGTTTTGACAAGAAATGAGGGCGATATCAAGCAATAGCTCTAGACACGTGGCATCTGCATTCAAGAAGCAGGTGTTGTGCATGCATACGAAATATGGGGAAGTCGTAGTGGACTGGGGGGTTTGCGCAACGTATAAATGAAGTGGGCATCACCCATAGATGCACGTCACATTCTTATTCTCAAAATGATGGGCTAGCCGAGTGCTTAGTGCAAACATTGTAGAGGGGATTGCAGACTTATGGGGAGCATCAGAAGTGCGATAGGG